TTCTAAATTAAAACCGCCGTTAAGTTATTTTTTTACATTTTAGTGCCTGGAAGTCGGTTTTTATTTTATTTTTAAAAGATTTTATTATTCCATTTTAGTGTAGACTTAATAATAAGCAGGTAATTTGTTAGAAGAAAGTTTTTTAATAACATATTCGATTAAACAATTTATTTAAGAAAAAATATTTAATGTTGATTTTTTAAAAACCGCTGGACCTATTTCGATAAAATTTATATGGGACCACCTGGAAAGTACACCCTTTGAAAAAAAAATTCCAAATCGGTTCAGTTGTCCTCGAGTAATCGGTGAACATACATAAAAAAAAGATTCCGACGAATTGAGAACCTTCTCCTTTTTGGAACTCGATTAAAAACAAAATAGGACCTACTTGGATTAACTGATTGTAAATGTGGTTGTTTTTTCAGCCATTCTCTAAGTGCAAGAATATCTGATGGAATTCTATTTGGTTTTTCAAATAATTCCTTCTCCGCTTTCTCTTGCAGCGCTTTGGGAAGGGGTCTTATCATTTTTTTTAAAGCTGAAATCTAATTACACAATCAAAATTTGAACCAGCTCTGTTTATATACCTGTGTTTATAAAGAATATAATAATAACTATGAATTCATTTCAATAGGCCGTCAACACTAAAGCGGTAATGGTTCAAAAAAATTGTTCTAATATTTTACTAATTTTCTGTAAATGCTTAAAGTTTCTCAAAAGTCCTTCAGCTTATCTTACTAATCTAAAATATATGTTTATAAGTTTTCTCATTTACATATTACTACATACAAGTATATACAACATAGCAAATTTATTATTTAAATAATACAAAATAATAACGAAGGTTATTATTTTGTATTATTTAATTATGATAGCAGAAACAAAAAATTATTCATTAGTCTGGAAATGTTTTGATATACGTGACGCTATATCATTAAATTTGTAATAAAATTATCTACATTTTCATACTTGGTTGGTTCCGGAAAATACGATTTGATACAAGTAATTAACTACTTTAATTTTCCTATTCATACCTGAATGTCAGGTAATGTGGATTCAAAATAGACCGCCAACCGTATGATGGTGTTTTCTACAAGTCTTTTGCTTTCGATTGATACTAAGTTTTTGCAGGAAAAGAGTTCTTGTACTTTCAAAAAAAATGATAGCCCGAGGCAAATTTTTGGCGACAACCCCACTTTTTTAATGTTGTGAAATACATATACGCCTAGCACCTGTAAACATACAGTTATGTGGAACTCACCGGCTAGAGAAACCAGTACTACCCAATAAAACCCAACAAAACCTCCCCCGTCTTAATAGGGCGTCGCAGGATCGCTTCACTTTCACTGAACTACGACGCCCTAACGACAATAAGTTGTTGTTTGACTGCCAATATAAGGTATCAGCATGCCAAATTTTACTAAATTAGGTGCATAAGTTGTTGCGTACTAAGCATAAGTTACTATAGTTTTTTAACTATTCCACGAGAACTCTTTAATGTTGACCGGGGATATAAGGTACCATGCAAAATTTCATTTAAATCGGCTTTAACAATTCGGAGATTACCTGTACAAACAGACAAACGGACAGAGAAACAAAAAATTTGAAAAAAATCTGGATTTGTTCTATTTCTCTTCTTACATCCCCCTGACTCGGTTCTTAGCATTTTCTTTTCTATGTACAGACATTCGACCTCTACACATTTATTATATGTATAGATAGATAACGTATAAGAACACAATAATATTATTTATTGCAAAATAGTTATAGCGAGTGTGCTTTAGGAGACAGGCATATTCTGTTGAGAGGACTTTCCTGTAGACCTGTTTAAGATTTACAATTTTCTAGTACATTGTTTTCCATATAAATTTCTAAGGACGACTCGATAGAACCAGTCATAGCATTTTCACGTGAGAATAAAAAAATTGCCTGTAGTAAAAGGTTTCCTAAATGTTGATCCGAGTAATAAGTTATCACTACACAAAATTTAATTAAAATCGGTTCAGTACTTTTTGCGTGAAACGCGCGCATCGATTTGACTAAATTAGTTTTATTATAGGTATATATAAGAATAGGTATTGCAAGTGTACCTTAGGAGATAGACATATATTGTTGCAGATTTTTCTGTTGGCCTTTTCAAAACCTACAATTTTTTAGCATATTATTTTGTTGTATGTCTTAAGGTTTATCCAGCGGACTGTTTCTAAGGAGAACTCGATAAAACCAGTTATTGCGATTTCCCGTGGGAAAGAAAGATTTTCCTGAAGTAAAAGGTATCCTAAATGTTGACCGGAGTAATAAGTTATCACTTCACCAAATTTCGTTGAAATCGGTTCATTACTCTTTGCGTGAAACGCGCACACACAAAAAGACAAACAGACATACAAACAGACCAAAAAATTTAATAACTATTGTTTTGGGATCTACTTATATTGTATACATAATACGTTACCATAATACCGTTATCCCACGGGAACCGCACATTTTTCCGAATATAAAGTAACCTATTTGTTATCCTAATGTATGAACTATATTATTGTAAAGTGTCATTAAAATCCAATCAGTAGTTTTTGTGTACTAAGCTGTATAAGGCACTATAGTTTTTTAACTATCCCACGGGAACTCTTTAATTTTCCGTGATGAAAAGTATCTAAGATGTTGACCAGGGATATAAGGTACCACCATGCAAAATTTCAATTAAGTCGGTCGAATAGTTTCGGAGATTAGCCCGTACAAACAGACAAACAGACAGAGATACAATTTTTTTATAAAAAACTGGATTTGTTTTATTTCTCTTCTTACACCCACCTAACTCGGTTTGTAGCATTTTTTTATGTACAGACATTCGACATCTACAGTTTTATTATAGTATAGATAGTTAAGACCGAAATCACTTTACACTTTCAATTTCTAAGTAGCTAATTAATTTATATTTCTGCTATGTGGCTATTTACATTAATTCCATGGGGTTTGAAAAATTTAAGAACGTAATACTCGTATATCATATTTGGTGTACTTACATAGTCTAAGAATTTTATGGTGTATTTTCTGTAAAAACCGACAGTTCTTATAAAGCCTTATTAATTACATGTGTATTTTTCATTAAAAACAAAATATTAACATTAGGAATAAACTGGTTTTAAAAAAAAATATGTATGTGTTACCACACTGACACTCTATATTAATATGAAAATTGACGACCTACGAGGATAATATATGTATATATGAGGATTATACGGAGTAAACAAATTCTATTATTTGCTTTTTCTCATACTATGTATTTCACAGCCCAATGCATTTGTACTTAATATGACAGAAGACATTTACTCTAGCGACAACATCAAGGCTAATGATTTTTTTTTATGGAAACTAAATAAAACATTAATGCGCTTATTTTTTTTAAGTTGTTAACTTACTTCATTCGCTCGTATACCTCTAATTTTTTATGGTTTGCATCAATATACATATATTATATAATACTTTATATAACCAAGAATGGTCCTTTCAGCAAGACTCGGCGCCGGGTCATAAAGCTCGATCCACGCAATCATGGTTAGAAACCCACGTTTCGGACTTCATCAGAGCTGAAGACGGCTGTCATCTAGTCCCGATATTAATCTACTGGATTATAATTTATGGCCAGTCCTAGAGAGTATGGCTTGCTGTACTTAGTGAGCTAGCGCAGTTTTGGTTTTAATAGGCAACCGATTTTTCCATCGCCTCAAGCAACTTCGCGCAAAAATCTTTCTACTTTCCTCTACAATTTGCACATTCTAGGAGGAGTTGTCAAAATACAATCCAAGATTCCTGACGGAGTTATCTATATGCTAGTAGATAAGTTTCCAACAAAAACTTATTTATTAGTTTTCTATATATTTTTCTAATTGTTAGATCAACATTATGTGAGCATATACTTTTAATAATACTTACTATATATAACATATTGACGGGTATGAATTATACTTATTTGGTTTTTTTAGTCATAATAATAGCTCAAATTTACTTTAAAATTGCCCTGATAAGTATATCATACAACTCAATAGCTCCATATATCATACACTAATGAATGAATAAAAACATTTAAGAAAATGTAAGCCGACTTTAAGACTTGAAGGTTTTCGTTTTTTTCAACCGACTTCCTCAAAAAGTAGGAGGTACTTAATTCGGCTGTATGTTTTTTTTATGTTTGCTACCTCAGAACTCCGTCATTTACTAACCGATTTAGACAATTTTTGTTTTATATGAAAATGTATACTTCCAGATTGGTCCCATTCCAATTAAAAAAAATACCACCCCTAAGGGTGGAAAAATAGCTAATGATGAATTTAAATTACTTTTAATTGTCATATTGACTTGAAACTTTTCGGCATCGTTGACCTGATCTGATGGTAAGGCCAGAAGGTGGATAGGTGGAACTCTTCAACGGCTAATAGTAGATACTTTGAGTTTGGGCTTATTTTGTTTGAATTGACAAGCCTAATACGTTAGAATCGGATTTTAAAGCCAGATTTTTAGTGTTACTAATAAAAGCGAATTTTAGTTTGTAAGTCTTCGTATAAAAATTGGCATCAAAGTAACTTAAATGGTTTAAGCGAATATTTTATTAAAATACTTTTTTCTTACTTTGCTACTACTATGTCTACACTAAAATGGGAAAAATAAAAACTTTTTAACAAAAAAATAAAAACCGACTTCAAAAAAGGACTAAAAAGTAAAAAATAACTGATTGGTAGTTTTCATTTACTATACATAACTAATCTATACATATAATAAAGTTTTAAATTAAATAGAATTTACTTAAAAACAAGTACATTCTATATACTACAGTTCGCAAAAAAATATGGGATCGCTATATAGCGATTGTATATATATACAAGAGAAAAGGAAATACTTAAATAAAACAGGAAACGAAGCTAATAATAATTTATTATTCAATAATGTAATAATTCTTCGAATGCCTTTGGATATGTACTTATGCACATAATATATAGATCAATTTAATCAATATCTATTTTACGGAAGGAGCCCTGATCTGTGAAGTCTAGAACAGTCTTTTTTATTCGTTTGGTCTCATCAGTCCCGAATTGCATTTCTTGTTCTAGCCATGGCTTATATTTTTTCATTTTACTGATCCAGTACTCTGAAACAATCGTATATAATGAATGTTACAATATCAAAATTTTGCTTATTTAAGAATATATACATATACATAATATTGAAAATATTCGTTGAAAGTAGTTGAATACTTCATTTTCTGGGTTTCTATTTACGTTACGTACCGTTACTTCAATATATTTGCCAGGGTTAGAATAGTAATAAATGTTCCAAGACATAATGTCTTACAAAGTTATGGTTAATGTAGTTTTTGTTCGAACATAAAAATATATTCGAGTAGCGTCACGTCGCCTTGAACTGGTGCCGGAGAGGCCATAAATTTTTCCTTTCTTTATAGCATTTGAGATATTGTTAAAGACATTATAATTTTCTTTTAAATTAGATTTTTTTACATTTTAAAGAGGAAATATAAAAAATATAAAGTCTTACAAAAAATAATATTTTTTAAGAGTATTTAAGTAATACAAGTGATACCCAATTTCACTTTATTATTACCTACCTATTATTTCTGCAATTGAATTTCCATCACCACCATATTCTACGGGAATGACATCTTTTGGTATAAACTTTAGCAATTCTTCATTAGATTTGTGTATTTTAAGCTGAAAGTAAAATAAAATACTTAATAAATGTAATACTAATGAATGCAAAATAAAAACACTGTGATTTTATAAACGTTATTCAACAATATTTTTACACGAGTAATCTTTTAAACCGACTTCAAAAAAGATGTTTTTAATTTCGAAGCGCAAAAATTAAAAATATCGAATTGTTTATTTGTCCGATAATTAAATATATAAAACAATTATTCGCTAGGCTATTGTCGGTTTATGATTACATGTAATAACTACCTTTTTGAGACAACCTTTTTGTAACAAATATTTATATATACATCGAGTTATTATCGGACGACAAAAGCCAAAAAAATCTATCCACTTTGGTTGGTTCTTATTTTTGTTTTAGATTTTAGATGCACCAAAAATCTAGATTATTATTTCAACTTTATACATTAATCAAGTTTTGAACTCGGTTTTATTTTGTGTTTATTTTTTTAAATTAGTTCTTAAGGTAGGTAATAGAATACTATTTAAAATAACAAAATTGGTTTGCTGAGTTTGGTTGGCTGAGAAACGGTAAACATAATATATAAAAATACATGTAGACAAACATAGAACCTCCTTCTTTTTGGAAGTCAGTAATACAAAATATATATCACGAAAATAATAGATATATTTTAGGATATTTTTAATGTCTTTTATTTTTTACATTATTTAGTTAATTTTACCCTTTCTTTAGCTTTTTCACCCAAAAATCCTGAAATGAGCTTGAAAATTATTTCAATTCCAGATGGTAAATTCACATGATGACTGCCTTTTAAACGCAGAGGTAATGAGTCCTGAAATCAAAATATTGGCTTGTTTATCCATGAATTATCATACATTATTATATACGTTTTTTTTTTGTATATTTAGTAGGTATCAGAGTAGGTCTTAAAGTATTTTTCAACCTCCTACCCCCACCTCAGATTTTTTAATCGCAATTTCAGTATTTTTGTATGAACAATATCCAAATAATTTAATGTTATATAAATATAATATAAAGCAAAAGAGTTTTTTTTTGTAGATTGATCGCGAGCGAAGCCGCGAGTTCTGCTAGTAAATATATAATATACGTAATAAGGACAATAAAGATGATACTTGTGAAAAGAAGTTTTAATACCTAACGTGTTTTTTTTATTTTAAAACCGTCTAAGAAGTGGGATTTATTTCTGCATGAGACGAATTATTATGATATTGCCTGTATTCGTTTAGTAAAAATTTTAATTCCAACTTCTTAATATACATATATTATATTATAGTATGTTTTATTAAATATTATAAATACTTGCCCATTTTTTTATATTTCTACCGGGTACGATGCCATAATACACTTTTAACATGGCGGAAAGGCCAAATATTATATTCATGCTTACGCCAAAAATACGCATGGGGAAACGGCGGACAATGAGTAGATAGTACAGATACATATAGATACTCGTAGTATATACTATACCTAATAGGTAGCGTATACTAACTTGACTAACGGCTACCAATTTCTTGAGCATGCTTGGATTGGCTTGTGTTAAATGATTTAGTGTGACGGTTTGATAATCCACTATGATTTTCGTTCCCATCACCGTGGCTACATCATTTTCAATGACTAAAATCTAAAAAAAAAATTTAATCATAAGTATGTTATTTTTAGTTATATTTCCTCAATAATCAAATCTTTTGCGTAAAACTAACTAAATTAATAAATAAATTCTATGTTCATTTATTCAAAACGCAAATCTCCAAAAGTTTATCAAGTTTTATAAAGTAGCGTAACTTTATATGGAGATTTTTATGTTATCCATTTTCTGTAATTCGCCTTTATCTGGCACTGTAGCCTTTATACTTCTAAATCAATTAACGAATCACCATTAAAATTGGTGTGTACCTATGTAGATATTTAAGTATGGAGAATATTTTCGCGCTATCAATTAGCTAGTTATCACTCACTGGCTTAGGCTAGTAAACAATAATAAAAACATGGGCAAAGTGCAAACGCGTTTATTATCTCTTCATTTACAAGGAGAAGATTAAGTAAAATACCTAAAGTTCCCAAGTAAAATAAATACGAAATAAATAAACATTGATTATACTAATCATGTACAAAATACTATATTAAATTAAATGAATTCTTTAAAACAAACCTGAACTAAATAATATAAAATACACATAATATCTGCTACACTGTGCTTTGTAGGATCGTACTCCCCTGGTCTTAAAAGGATGACACATGGGTGAAGTGAATCTTTTGACTGTGGCAAAATCATACATGTCCTGGAACAAATGAACGAGTAAGTCATTTATACTAGAAATAAGTCAGAAATAAAAAAAAATTCTTACCCTAGTCTCAAAAACTCAAAATAATCCGGCTCAGTCGGATTGAGTCGCAACGTGACCTCGGGAGCTATAGAGCGCAGGGTGTAGAACAATTCTAATTTTTCCTTCACACGTTCTAAGCTAAATTTACATCCTCTAAGCACAGCAACAAGCCATTGATCATCTGAAAAAAATACATCATGATGATGATGTTCTCCTGACCGATTCCGGCCACGGCGGCCAATCTCACTGAGACTAGCCAACTGCGCAGGAGATATTATAGTGCACAAGTGTACGCGCAAACACAAGTGCACTCTCTATTCCCGTCACTCTCATACTCTGGTGGGACGACCGCTCGACACGACCAGTGAGAGTTAAGGCGCAGGACCGACGGCTTTACGTGCTCTCCGAGGCACGGGGGTGAAACACCGCCAACTTCCCAACTCCGGGCTGTTACTGAGGCTTAATATACACAAAGACTCAATAACTAAACTTGGCCCGACGCGGGACTCGAACCCAGGACCTCCGGGTGTGCAGCCGTACATGCTAGCCACTACACCACCGAGGCAGTTAAAAAAACATATTTTTATGTTAATTACGTGCGTCACGTCTTTACTTTTTTGTTTAATTAAATTAATTATATTTTCATAATATTTTAAACAATAAGATTAATTTTCCTATTCACACAAGTAAAAAATATAATCAACGACTTCGCTTTAATGTCTTTAATTAAAATATAATATAAATTTTCGAGAATAAAAAGTCTAATAAGTGACGTAAGAAAATACAGAAATTTGATATATTCCTGCTTAAAAAAACTCAGTGGGGTTTTTCTACACTCTTTCATATTTAAATAAAATCGAAAACTAATCTATTCCACGGGATCAGTACATTATTCCGGCATACTATTCCAGACTATAATCTATCTCTGTGCTTTCATCCAGATCCGTTCAGCCGTTCTGGCGTAATGGAGTAACAAACATCCAAACATGAAACAACCACGAACCAAACATCCATATAAATTTTCACATTTATAATATTAGTAAGATTAATGTTTAAAAGTAAATTCTCTATTGTGAATGTTTTATTCGAAAAATTAAATAACCTGTATAATATTATAATTCTGTATAAATATTAGAAATGTGAAAGTTTGTGAGTATGGGTGTTAGTTATTATTTCACGCCAGAATAGCTGAACGGATCTGGATGAAATTTGGCATTAAGAAAGATTATAGTCTGGAATAACACATAGGATACATTTTATCTCGGAAAAATATACGGTTCCCAAGGGATAGATTTATTATTGTTTTTCGAGGGTGAGCCGATAGAGATAAAATATAATAATATTAGAAATATGCTTACCAGTTCTCGCTTTCAAGTGAGGTTGCTTCGATATCCATTCTTTCAGATTTTGCAAATCAGCTTTAATTTGCTTAGGATTTTCATTTAACTCATCCTTGGCTATTTTTGCCAATTCTGGCGACAATTCTCGTATCATTGAAATGCTCTGAGAAAAATTAAATTTAAAAATAATATTATAAAAACTTAATGTGTCATTATCATAATTATTTATCAAAAAATGTCAACTAATTAAACTATCCAAACGTGAAAGTTACTCTATATAGACATATGTCTGTTTGTTGCTTTTTCGCACGAACAAATAATGATATTTGAGAACAACGAGAACAAGAAATTTTATCACCGCCACGCTTAGTTAAGCATGCGAGCGGGGCCAAGGGCATCCGATTTATATTTACTTTTCTACTATCCGATTTATATATTAGTTAAAAATTGGGTAAACATTCTAGTTTAAATTAACTTACATTTTTTATTTCTTGCTCCTGGGTACTATTGGAATTTTGCTTTTATAATAAGATTATGTACATAATATGTTTGCTTGTATTTATATGATTGATAGTGCCTCTAGTGAGAAAAGATCAACTTACAAGTTCAAATATATGATAAAACACACAGTATATACATAAACAGTCAGAAACATTTTTTATAACTAAACTTGTCACGTTTAAATTTCAGTAAATGTGTAGGTAATCGCGGATTCAAATTTGAACATTTCTATACACATCTGCTTTTGTATTTCGTCCCTTATATTGTTGTCAGTATGTTTTTATAATATATGTATACCATTTGTGATGTGATAAAATACCTACCTAAGAAAAGTAAATTTAAAACGGCAACTAATACTATTGTAATATAGATAGTTTAATTATAATTACATTATTATAAAAATATTAACATACCGTTGTTAGTACTCGCTTGTTCAAAAATTTAGGTCTGCTGTACAGTGTACACACGTCAGTGAGACTTACTAGTAATTGTACTGAAGAAATATAGTAGGGGAGCCCAAGAGGGGATTTTGAGATTTACTCAAGCGCGGTAGATTAACTTAAAGGGGATACCTTACACTCCCTTACTATCCCCTCTTATTAAATCCCAAAATTCCCTCTTGGGCTATCCTCTTAATATAACCTAGTCACCATTTAAGACTCATGAACACAAAAAAAAATCAAAAAATAACCAAAGAGGAGTAAACTAAATAAATATCTTTAAATGTTAAAATCGTGACATACGTTCGTTTAAATAAGAAATGTATTTATTTACCAATGCTCTTCACACGACTGGACGGCGATGTTTCAATTTAGCGTGAGTGATATTGAAAATTCCATATGAATACTATCTTTCAACTCGTTTTCAGTAGACTTATCTTTGCCATACATATACATAAGTAGTATCTATCGTAAAACGAAATGTTGGTTATTTAATATATTCCGGCCGGAGTTCTTGATCAACTGCCTATCCGCTAGCGTTATTTTATCAGTTAAATCTTATCAGTTGTTTTATCGTTCGAACAAGTTTTATTATACATCACGTTTAAGTGAACTTAGTATATTAATATTTCTATATTTTAGTATTTTAATGATATTCAATCATAATTAAGTATTATATTTGGACCCAGTTATGCAAAAAACAGCCATCTGCGTAAAAGTACCAACAGAGTTATAAGCATTTTTCTGTCGATAGTTGCACTTGGGTTATGTTTTGTTTTTCTGGTTATTTTAAAATTGAACAATATTTATATAAGTATTGTTTATTTTTTATAATTATTTTATTTTTTATAATAAAATGCATATAACTCTGTTGGTACTTTTACACACATGACTGTTTTTTGCATAACTGGATCCATTTGTAAAATGATCAAAAGCAGTAATTTGTATTATCGTTCTTAACGTGTGAACTAAACTCATACAACATTAAGAAAAGAAAGCCTTATTTAAAACTTATAATAATTAGCATTCAAACAACGTTTAAATTTCCATTATATTATATTTATTTAAATTCTAGTAAGCACTTACTTGATCTTAATAGTTATTAGTATACTTATATACTTATTAATAAATTAAACATTAATAATAAGGTCAAGCTTCTACCTACGCCGGAAAAACATCTTATGTCATTAATTTCTTTTCTGTATTTCGTATATTTTACATATAAAATACGTTCAATTTTAAAAGCCACAGATGATATAATTTTGTATATAATATTATAATCTGTACTAACCTGTATTTGAAGAAATAACAATAATTTAATATATAGAGTTTGATAGATTTGATATACATATATACGAGAATTTTTATTTGCACCAAAACTGACACTTTAAGGCTCGACAAATGATCCAACGCAGTTTTAATGCAAACAAACACTTTAGATAACCTACATAGTATACCTATACACATATAAAGTAGAAACGTGTTCGTTGTTTTTCCTTACTACTGTCTTATAATTATTATGAACCTTATGTAGATTTGAAACTTTCTCTTTCTACTACATATACAGTTTGACTTTGTTCGTTTGTTTGTCCTTCTTTCACTACATAATTAGCGTGATTTTTTTTTGGAGATAATTGGAGGGATGGAGAATAGGCTACAATTTACCGCGGGCGATTATCTCATTACCACGAAAAACACGCTATAATACAACCTACAACAACTCATCATACCTATGTATATACATACATACATTATATATTATATAGTCTATCTATTCCATACTAACCGTAAAACGTATGTACCTAGGGACGAACCCGAGGGAAGTGAGAATGGTTGGCTAGTTAATATTAATAATTTTATATCAGTAACATACAGATCGTCCTTATTATACCTACATTGACACCTACAGTGATAAACAACTCCACTACTCAGTTCCGGCTGAGTAGTCGTTGCCCTCAACAGATTACCACCACCATCTGGTGGTGATCAAACAACAAAAACCAACAACAACCAACACAAACAACAAACAACAAAAGCAATTATAAAGATATCACTTAATGATATCATAGATAAGTATTAATGATCTATCATAAACGTGGAAATAAAATATAACTTTACAATGAAATAAAATTAAAGTTCATACCATAAGACGTTTTGTGTGTGACTTTCAAAAAAATTGGTATTCTTACGGTTGCGTCACAATATATACTGTGTAATATATTACTAGTTCGTAAGAATTTAAATAATTATGTAAATATTAAGTACACTCAATACACAATACTCACATACACACTCATATACAATATTATGTACACTCCGCGATAAAACTATATCACACTATATATTTTTCATTATAGCTCTGAATAAAAAGAAACTTGTAGCTTCTAAATCTGTTTAGTCAAGGTATACATATAAAAATATATTAGAAAGAGACAACTATCCCTTATCTATTAGGTGCAGTGTAAGATCGTGCCGCCCGGTAGAGACGACCAAACAAAAGCACAATAATGAAAAATAATAATAAATTACCTTATAAACGTGCATAATGTTACTAATATATTTTTCCTGCTTTATTTTTAAATAATATCTACAACCATCCTCTTCGGAAGAGTTTCATATGGCATTTTAACATAATCTGGATCTCTATCTGTCCCTACTCGTTTTGTAAAGCTTTTTTTTTAATTATTCAATATTATAAAATTGCTTTCCATTTAAATGCGCAGTACTTGCTTGTCTAATCCAACAACTTTAAATAATATTCAAATCAAGAACAAGCGCGGGCCACTTGAAAAATTGAACATCGTGTCTCAAAAAATAGTCTGCCATGAAAGCAGCAATTTCTTGCTGTAAAATATAATTCTAGAAGCTAATTTGTCATTTTAAATTAAAAAAAAAGAAAGAAATAAGAATTTCTTCCATTTTCGTTAAGTATTTATTGATCCATTTAATATAACTTGCACTATTTATTCCTAAAATAAAATTTATTTCTGCCTTTCCTTTTCTTCAAAGTCCACAGCAGCCCAACCCAACAATTTCATTCATCCATCATGATAGTAATACTTAGGGGACGTACCCATACTACGGGACCCGTTCGCGTAGAGGACCCAAGGCGCGATGACCAGCACAGAGTCCTTAGATCTTTTAGTCGTTAGACGCCTTGTAACCGCACTTGTTGTGTTTGATGTTAAGATTTTTTTTAGTTGCCGTGATTAAACATCTATTTTATTTATATAACATTCAAAATTAGACTATAAAATGCCAGTCATTTTTTCACCATTTTCATTGACACAGCCAATTGCTTGAGGTTAGGCATGGCTTAATTGGAGAGTTCTTTTTTTACTTTTTTTGTTTTATAAGCTTTTATTTATGCTAACTTTCTGATATAGGTTTAGGAACTTTTATTCATAATAATTTAACAATATTTATCTAAAGCTCGAACAAAGCCCAGACGTTAATTGAATGGAGCATCTGTGGAATAATTTAAAAATTTAAATTTAAAAGAAAATTAAAATTTTAAAGTTTCGCCTCAACTCGCGCATCATAGGTTCGTATTACAAAATACTGTGTTGTTTTTCTTACTTACGTATTTTGTTAGGTTAACAATAAATACGAATAATATTTACGTTTCCACAATATCGACTCATTTTATCAACCGTAGAAATAAGTTCATTTCATATTATTTTTTAACCGACTTCCAAAAAGGAGGAGGTTATCAATTCGTCGGAAACTTTTTTTCTCTTTTTTTATTTATGTTCACTGATTACTCCAAGACGCCTGAACCGATATGGATTTTTTTTGTTTCAAAGGGTATACTTGCCAGGTGGTCCCATATAAATTTTATCGAAATCGGTAGAGCGGTTTTTTAAAAAATCAACAATAAATATATTTTTTTAAATAAATTGCTTAATCGAATATGTTATTAAAAAATTTTCTTCTTTATTTTTTAAATTACCTGCTTATAACGTCTACACTAAAAATGGAAAAATAAAAACTTTTTAATAAAAAATAAAAACCGACTTCCAGGCACTAAAATGTAAAAAAGAACTAAACGGAGGTTTTCATTTAGAATAGATACCTAATCAGGATATTTTCGAAGTCGAATATAATCAATAGCTGTCTATTAGTAAATAAATGATAAAAATTAATTTATTAAATAAGCAAACAAAACAGAAGTAAGTATAGATATACTATAAATGTTATTGTTAAAACAAAAAGTGCATTATTACTAAATCAAATATGAGATTAACGGAGGAACCTTTATGACTTTGTCAATCACCGCCATTATTTACCAATCGTGCGATACGCAATGAAATTTGTATGTGTAAGAGTACACTAATAAAACCTAAAGTAAAACCTAAGAATTTGGTTTTTGGTCATCTGAACGCGGGCGGAGCCGCGGGCAATGCTAGTACTAGTACACCTATATAACATACCCATACAACCAATATAAACTGATAAACTTAAAAAGCAAAACCTTATCTAAATATAAAATTTAATCCAAATCATCAAATCAATCAAATGTCTACAAATATATGTATATACTTTTTTTTAGTATTTTTTGATATCTGCGCCTCTCGTCAATAAATGTCAGAGATTTAGACTATTATATTGCTCTGAAAATTTAGTAGGCGCTTTGACGCATATATTATAACTAATAGTGAATAAATACAAAAGTTTAAATTAAATTCTTTTTAAACGAGCTACAAATCTCTTGGTTGTTCAAAACTTCTAAAACATCTGAAAGGATTTTTTATAACCCGACGACGTGAACGCATTAAGCAAATCACACTTAGCTCTCACACAGTAAACATAAACTTTCCTCTTTGTACAAACTTCACTGTTATACATTTTACTAATTTAGAACTCTGAAGCGTAAAACACGTGGAGATAGAGCTTATACGGATTCAAAGTTAAACTCAGTTACTTTAGGTTTATATCCAATGTCCCCCCCAACGTGCGTTCACCTTGTCGTGGTGGGGGGGCTCAGTAGCAGTAGCGAAGCTAAGAAACGCACAGGGAGGTTGCCCACTTCGGTGGGCGGTGGGAGGTGGCCCTCTTCGGAGGGCGGTGTACCATGCGGGTTGCTCCTGGTACTTCTCTGATAGCAGAGTGGACCTTGGAGCAACCCCATGGTTGTGGTGGTCTGCTTCGGCGGACCTGCCGTCGGGGCGTCGTAGTTGAATGCGTAAGCGATCCTGCGACGCCCCATTAAGACGGGGGAAGGTTTTGTTGGGTTTTAGTGGGTAGTACTGGCTGTATTACGCCGGTGAGTCCCACACGTCGTGCGTAAATGCATTTCCCAACGTTAAAAAAAAAAAAAAGGTTTATATCCAATGTAGCTTGAATGAATCTAGGCTTTTTATAAAAGCCCTATCATACAAAATTAGCATACCTAATTTCTAAATAAAAAAAATATAAAAAATTGTTTCCATTAGATTTTTTAATACTAAATCAGTCGTGAATCTGGTGCACTTAAATTGACAAAAAGTAATTCAATTTCATGACCAGGCAAGGCATCGACTATAAAGTTTATGTACAATTTTTGCCTCTTCGGCGAATTGTACACTTTTCAGGATATAATTAGCCCACCATATCTTAATCTGACGGTTTCAAGTATTTCTACCTTATCAAAATAATTTTTAAAAATTTTGATCGGCTGCCCTAGACGCGCGCCCTTATGTAGAGGATTTATATTATGGTGAAGATACTGAACAGAATGCATACAAACAGAATGCAACATAAGGGGGGATCCCCTCATGTGAGTCTGCCACGTTTGAGTAACTCCAAAAATCCCCTCTTGGGCTCCCCTACTATTATTTACTACACAAAAACTACGAGTATTAGTAGCAAGGCTGTACTTTGATGTTGATTTTTTTTAAATATCTCCTAAGGTACACTTACAATAACTAGTTATTTATTACCTATTTAAAACGTACTTAGGGATACATCCGAGCGAAATCGCTAGTTATTAATACAAATATTTTTTAGTATAGTTAATAAGAAAAATGTAAATAAATATTTGTAGAGTATGATTCAAAATAATAAATTTGTGTCTTTTTATTTTATGTACCAATTTATAAAGATGCCGCTTTGAAAGTAGACTTGTCAAACAAGTCATGATATTGGCGCATTCAAGCTGCTACTTTGGTACTAATATTAACAATTGTGTAACCATTTTTGCTAAATGTATTTCAGGCCTAATTAAAACAAATATTTATATTTGTTATAAATTATAGTTTATATTTTCTCATAAAGATACAAATGCGAACATATTTATTTTATAATTTGGAATATTTTTTTTAAAATAAAAGCTCTTTAAGTTTATCTGTCACTCTGTCTTGCTGTCTGCTGCTTGCAAATCTACGGAAATAGTGGATACTAGATAGACTTCACTGGCGAATAAAGTTTGGCTGGAAGTGACATAGGATACATTGAATCCTAAGGAAAAAGTAGTGTTATGAACTTAACCTGAATATATGTCCCATCCAATGTACCCTCTTAATTACTAAACTGCTCAACCGATTTTTACAATTCATACATCTTTATATTTGTCTTAATAACGCGAGTGTTATAGAGCATATGGATATTATTATTTATATAATACTAACTACAACAAAAACGCTAAAAAGGTAGGTTTCATAAAAACTTCACCTCTATTTTACCCCCTTATGGGATGAATTTCGAAAAATGCTAAAACACGAATTTATTTAATTTTATTGAAGTGCATACAGAATTTCAAGTAATTCTGATCATAAATATTTTTTTGAGTTGTATAATAACGTGTTTTCCCGTGGGAATGAAATAATCTCCCGCTGTAAAAAGTAGCCTATATGTCACTCTCCAGCCCTCCAACTATCTCTTCACAAAAAAACATGCCAATCCGTCGTTCTGTTTCCACGTGTAAGAAGGACAAACAAACAAACACTCTTTCACATTTGTAATATTAGTATGGATTTATTTTAGGCGCTAATTTGCGTGCTTTTAAAAGTTTTGTTTTCGTCCAGGCCTATTGATTGGAGTATTAAAATGAAGGTTTTTAAAAATAATTTAGGATTAAAAATTGTTAAATAAAACTAAAAGTTGTTAAACTAAATTAATTTTACAAAAATAAAAAGAATCCGACTGCATTAAATAACATACTTAGTATTATGCAGTCGGAGACATGTACTCGTATGAACATCACGTAGCATGATTCACAACAAAGAAAAAACACGCTTTATCCTTTAAAAGCTACTACAAAATATATACTTATAAATGGCTACATAACTGACCTCATCATATTAACACAGTTAATAAATAAATATATTATAAAAATAAGAAATCCCGACTGCATAACAACTAACTAAAAAGATGAAAACACGTTTCATCCTTGCCGCAAGATGTACATACTCGTATGTATGTCTCCGACTGCACAACACTATACTTTTTTTTTTTATTGACGCTCGACAAGATGACTCCATGACGCCTGATGGTAAGCGACAGTGGAATCCAGAATGAGATCCATCGGTTCCGGGACTTGATATCGATTCCGATCAACCTCACCTTGTCGGCCTGCAAATGTGCTTTTTCACGCTCCGTTTAAACGACCCAGGATTATAGGAAGAGGGAAACACGTGAGACGGTAATGAATTCCATTTCCTAATAGTGCGGCACAGGTAGGAGCTGCCAAACCTTTTGGTACGAGAAGGTATGGGTAGTACCGTGTGAGGATGGAATTTCCGACCAGCACGTGTGGTTTTGGAGAGGAAAGGAGAGGAGGGTATTCCTTCGTGAACTTGTTTTCATATTTTTAGTTACCTGTTATGCAGACGGGTTTTTTCATTATTATAATATATTTATTTATTTACACCTTTTTACATATTTTTAAGTAGGAAAATTAGCGAGTATGGTTGTTAACCAAATTTAAATTATTATATATCCTAAACTATTATTTAAAATAAAAAATGATGAAAGAAACCTAAAAATGATTTTTAAATGCTTATTCAACGATACCTTATTTGACATAGTTCGTCGATTTTCATTTTTTTTCTTTTTCACATTATGGCGTCAAAAATCAGCCATTTTGATTTTTTCAAATTTTCATGCTTTCTATCAAATTCGCGCCGTCATGATAAATTAAACGACGTATCATTTATTAAAATCGGCCCACGCGTTTGGTCTTAGTAGTGCCACAAAGGTACAAATCCAAATAAATACATACATACATACATACATATATAAACTGATAAACACATTGCCATTCTTTGCGTCGCGCAGTCGAGTAAAAACAAACTTAATAAATGGTAGAATCAATATAATGTAAAATAACAGGATTATCACTAGCCTATAGAGTCGAAAGAGTTCCCGCGTCAAATGGGACAGAACTTTTATGATTTATTAGATGAATATTATATAAAATGTTACAACAAGTTCTTAATACAATTAAGCTAATTTGTTGTTGTGGGCTCATTCCTATCTTATTTACTTTTTTTTAATTTATTGCCTATTACTTGTTATAAATTAATCTATTTCTAAACCTCTAAAAGTCTTATCAATAGTAGTAGATCGAGGTATCTTATTTCGTTTAGACTCATCACTTCCATATTTAAGATCATCTTCAAAAAACGAACTGTAATCCCGCATTTTCGTTTTCCAGTAATCTGAAACATTATTTATTTATTTATTAAATAATATAAATAGTACTATTTTTATAAAAAAATAATATTTTATATTGTACAAAACTCTTATTTTACCTATACATTCCTCAATACTGTCACCAGTTCCGCCATATTCTTTTGGTAAAATATCTTTGGACACATGTTCGTGTAAAGATTCAATGTTTTTACCATGTATCATAATCTAAAAAGAAATTTTCAAATTAGAAATATCTTAATAATGAGTAATAAATAATAATCACAAAAAACGTAATTAATGTAACACTGAATCGTGTACAGAGATTCAGTACCTTCAGATTTTTTGTTTGGATTTTGGATTCAATTGAACCCGGTAGGTGGCACTGCTGTTGGTATGTCACTGATCTTCTCCTAAATGGCAGGGACGATTTTAATGATATTTTCGCGTTTGTTCGAGTGGCCTCGTGCCAGGTTTAAATACACAGCCGGTAGGTGGCGCTGCAGTCGGTTTGTCAAAAAGTTTATTTTTTAGTAGTATGAACATGGGCGAAGCCGCGAGTACTGCTAGTCATTTTATATAATCAATTTTCGTTAAAAGTAGTTTCAAAATTTAACTAAGTTTAAGTCTAACTTTTTTTAATTTCGCACATATTTAAAAAGTTAGAAGAACAGGGAGGAGGGAAGTATAAGAAATAGGTATAATTTAGGTATAAAAATATCATTGTATTCAGCCCTTTTTGATGTCCCACTGCTGGGCACGGGACTGTCTTCAATACGAGGGGGATCAGGCCATAGTCCACCTCGCTGGCCATGTGCGGGTTGGCGGACTTCACATGTCTTTCGAAAACTTCCTAGGTTCTCTCAGACATGCAGGTTTTCTCACGATGTTTTCCTTCACCGTAAGGCAAGTGGTAATCATGTTAGTAATGATTGGCACATGAAAATATCAGACCCGGGATTTGAACCCGCTTCACTCGGTTTCCAAGCGAGCGCATTACCACTGGGATACCACTGCCTAAAATATCATGCTGAAATATTTTTCAATGTCTCTTTTAAAAGTCCAGCTATATGTACAATGCCAAATTTTCGACTTATTTGAAAAGCACTAAGTACTTGTTTATTCTTATTTTAAAACTAGCCCCTAAATGTTCAAATATTAGATACTATTTATAATATATATATATATATATATATATATATATATATATATATATATATATATATATATATATATATTTATATAGATATATATATATATATATATATATAGTATCAACTATCTGGTATCCATAACACAGGCCTCGAAGCTTACCATGGAAGAAGATGGTACTACTATGTGTTAATGTTCCAACATGTTTGTATAAATATATATTTATTTATATTGTTTGGCAGTACTCACCCTTTTCTTTGTCTTTTCATTTAAAAATCTTTTAGCAATACTGAAAAATGTTTCGAAAAACGGTGGAGTATTAAGAAAATGTACGGCTCTAATTCTTATTGGTACAGCTTCCTAAAAATATATAGGTTATTATACAAAATAAATTATGGTAAATATATAATATTTAAGAAAAAAACTATATTCAATCCCGATGATACTCGTAATTACCTGGTTAGCAGTGATTAAATTTTTCAATTGTTTTATCGAAGTTTGTGTATAGTGGCCTAGCTTTGTTCCCGCCAAGTCCACCACATTAACTGTGCCTGCTACAACTAAATTATCGTCCTCCATAAAACAAATCTTTAAATAAACAAGAAAAACAATTAAATAAAATAAATAAGCTTTTATTTCTTGCAACTTAATAACCGTTTTTAACTTTTAACTTAATAACATTTTAGCTTGTCTTTAACTTAATAACATTTTATATTTGATTAGTTAACTACATGTACTATTTAATTATTTTTTTTAATATATTATACAGTTACTTTTTTCTTTTTTTTGTTTTATATATATTTATTTTGTGTTGGCTGCAAGGACCGCTCGTGCGGTAAAAGCCTCCTCCAATTGTCGCCACCTAGACCTATCTCTAGCTTCTCTGGTCCACGTAGTACCGGCTTGTTTTACTATGTCGTCGCACCATCTTTTGTGAGGTCGCCCCGGTTTTCGCTTCCGGTTTATTGGGTACCAGAAAAGCAATTATTTCTATAAATTTATTTAAATCAGAGACAGACAGACAGACAAACAGATAACAAAATTATCCTCTAAGGGTTCCTTTTTAACTTTTGAGGTATGGAATCCTTAAAAAACCTTAACGGTTAAATATCGTATAATAGCGACCTGGGCGACTGAACTTCGCTCGGCGTTATTCGAAATAGATAAAAATTGCGTTTTTTTTTCAGAAAAGACAAACTTAAAAAGCAAACCCTTATCATATAGGTATATATTATTATACAGGTATTATACAAGACTTGCTCATTTAATATTATAAGATAAAACTACTGAACCTGTTCCTGAAGAGTTAGGACGGACATTAGCTCCAAAAAAGTGTATTCGTTAGTGTCATATTGACCAACCCTTAATAGTATAACTCTTGGATCATCAGGCTTTTTGGTTTTCCGTAATAATAATATTGCCCTGTAAATAAAGTGATACAAAATTACATTAGTATATTATATGATATACTGTAGTTAAATAATAATTTCCATTTACAAAGTACCAAAAAACTTATATTATTTATTAGTAATATTTTAAGTCTTACCCTAAATTTAGTATATCCATCGCCTTAGGTTCGAAATATTTAACACTATATAAATAAGGAGCTGTGCTTCTCATAGAGAAATAAAGATCTAATTTTGATTTACTTTGATCTAATCTGTATTTACAGCCTCGTACAAAAGCAGCTAGCCATTGATCATCTAAAAAATAAAAACGAAAATAATTACAGTATGATTATAATAGGTTTTACCAAATTGATATCCCAAAGACTCAAAAAGAAATAGAGGTTGACAACACCAAAGATGGAAAGATGAAATTAAACTGACAGTGGGTCAGTACTGGAGAGGAGTAACAAAGGACAGGATCCAATGGAGAGAGTTAGAGGAGGCCTTTGTCAAGAGGCAAACTGAGATAACAGATATAAGTACCTAATGGTTATTTTTATTTTTTAGTTTTTATTTTTTAAATGTTTAAGAATTACTTAGATAACCTATATTAAATGTCTACATATTATGTAATATTTATTCTTAGTATTAAAGGCTATGTTATTTTATAATAGGTGTTAAAATTAAATTTCAAATCTTATATACATACGTATATATTCTTTGGTGGTGATACTAAAACAAGCCTCTCCTTAGCCTATCATAATAGGTACGCCAATTGATATAATCATTAGTCATCCAGCTACCATAAACTTAAAAAAAGAGCAAAATAAAATAGATTACCTGTTCTTGCTCTTAAGTGTGGTTGTTTTAAAATCCATTGTTTCAAGTGCCGTATACCTTCCTCTAGCCGTTTTGGGTCCTCGTTTAGTTCAATTCGAGCCTTCTCCGCCAAAGCTGGTGTCAGCGGACGGACCAACATTTTATAAAATCTGTAAAGGAATTAAATTTTTAATGTAGTTTCAATAAAAAGTGTACCACCGCAGTGCATATACCGTGCTGTAACTAAACTTTCGAAAACGGTACTCAAGCGATAAAAAACATACTGAGTATAATATAGATAGATACATACAATATAGAGAACGGTCGCTCAGCTCTTAATATTATGTCACTTGTTACACAAAAATATCATCAAAATAAACAAAATTTCAATTTTGCGATAATAGAAATATAATATTTTGCTTTTAGGAAAACAAAACAACATATGTATAGTAAACCATTAACATAAAATAATTTTATGGTGTCACTTTACCTACTACAAATTATTATACATACACGATAAATAGAAGTTAAATCATGTATGGAATAAATTTGCATTTAATTGTTAGTTACTTTGTATTAAAGTTACTTTGCAAACTACTCTTTTGCACAATTAAAAAAATCTTAGATTGTTTTAATCTTGTGAAATACTATTCCTCAATTCAATTTACGGCTTCAAAACGGGCCAGATGATCACAGATTATTCGCCATTGACACTTAGAATAGAGAAAACACGAGCGAGATTGATCGGTAATATTAGATTATTTATTATTTAGTAACTAAATTAAATTATAATACATATATAAAAAAGGACGAACACTTCTCAATTCTTTATTTACAGGTTTCTTATTATTAATATCCCAGGTTCTGTCAGTTTTTTATCAACTACAACCACTAGCACAAAGCGAATCCGAGTAATCACCTGAACTCTAAGAACAGACTCATTCAGTTGGACACTAAGTACTAGCAGATGGCCACATTACGGCATACACAAACGCGAATTCCACCTCCATATTAATTAGAATGAATTTATTTGGCGTAATGTGTTGAATAATAAGTATTTTAAAGGGCTAAATATTTATAATAAAAAAAGGGCTTTTAAATCAGATCAATTTATAAAAATAGCCGTATCAATGCTTCTTATAAATTAACATTATCATATTGTATCCTAGAAACCAAAAATTTACTTGAAAATCGTCAAGCAGGGATATTTTTATACAAAATCTTATATTATCTTCTTCTTATATATAATCTTATATATAATCTTATATAAATATAATAAAAGTGTAACTCGTCGCTGTCTGTACATGGAAGATATTTGAGAAAAACTATTATTGGGGGTCTATATTAACGTAATAGAACAAAAAACCAAGATATTTATAATTTTTGTCTGTTATTCTGTACGTTGTGTGCACTTATGTCAAAAACGGCTTAACCAATTTGCCCCACGGGAACTGTTCAATTTTCAGTTTTAATGTTCGACGTGATTCTTTAAACTGACATAATGAATCAAGATCCGGCTGTAAGCTTGCTACGTTCATAGCGTATTTAATCAAAATCATTTTTTATATACAATAATAAAAGGGACAATATGTTTTGACCGGGGTGCCTATTAAAATGTGCCCGCTAGTATGTGTAATAAATAAATAATAATTGACTGTGTAACTGAATTTGCTATTAAAATGAATTATACTCCACTTCACAGAAATATACGTAGAGATCTTAAAAAGTGATAGCTGCCGTTGCGCACTTGGCCTCTACCTCTTCGCAGCCAGGTGTAAACAGGTCATATTTTGTTACGTTTATACGTTCATGGCGTATATTCATTATTTATATATCAAATTAAAGCTAATCTTTTTCTGTGCATGATAAAATACCTCTATCTATGTAAAAGTGGCCGCAATGGATAGAAAAGAAAAGAAAGATATAATATTATATATCATTTGTCAGACAATAGCAACGGTTGCCATGGCAAAGACAGTGAAAGAGAGTTAGCTGTTTGTGGCAATCTTGCAGCGGGATCTTAGTCCATAACTTTTTTATTTATGAACCGATTGACATGAAACAAATACTGAATTTTAAGTGAAGCTTACCACAATATATTAGTAAAACCACATCTACCTAGCTTGGATAAGCCGTTTCTGCGATTAGCGTGCACAAACGCACTGACAAACAGATAAAAAACAGACAAAAATTCTAACAATCATTGTTTTGGGTATTATTTCCGTTTATAAAGGTCCCAATTATATTTTTTCTCATATATCTTCCATGTACAGACAGCAATCTGTTACATTTTTATTATTTGTATAGATAAAAAAAACCTCAACTTTGTTTTAAGCTTTTTTGTTATGCATAATAATAATAAAACTTTACGATACCTACAAATACCAACAAATAATTTAAGTAGAGTAAGATAGGTAGTATGTAGGTACTTATTAAACAATGTAAAAAATAATTAAAATGGTAAGACTTTAATATATTAAAATATAGTTTTATTATAAACTAGAGTTGCCCGCGTGTAAGTATCTTATTTATGTACAATGTACATCGTTCCGCTTCTTACATACGGGTTGCATTAATCTTTCTTCACGCTATGATGATGATGATGATGTTCTCCTGACCGATCCCGGCCACGGCGGCCAATCTCACTGAGACTAGAGAACTGCGCGGGAGATATTATAGTGCAGCGCATGTGAGGGAGAGCGCAGACACAACGTGCACTTTCTATTCCTGTCCCTCTCATGGGACGATTACTCGACACGACTAGTGAGAGTTATGGCGCAGGACCGACGCCGTTACGTACTCTCCGAAGCACGGGAGTGAAACACCGCCAACTTCCCAACTCTAAGCTGTTACTGAGGCTTAATATACAGCAAGACTCAATAACTAAACTTGGCCCGACCCGGGACTCGAACCCAGGACCTCAGCAGCCGTACATGCTAGCCACTACACCACCGAGGCAGTTGCCTCGTTCGGCACGCTATAATATCCGTTTTAGTTTGCTGAACCGATTTAGATGAAATTGATATGGAGATATTTTGAGACCCTGGGAAGTATATAGGATAGTTTTTATCCCGGAAGACATCTCTTAAGTGGGTGAAAAGCGGGGTGGTAGTTTGAATGGAGAATCAATCACTTCTCAACTACGGGATTTGTTTTTATTTTTTTAAATCCTTATCTACTTTTCTATACCAATGTACATAATATGTACATTATACCTATACTAGTATATATTCTGTTCTATACTAGCCGTTAAAACGTACCGAAAGGAGCGAACCCGAGCGATGCGATGATGAGTCGCAAGTCCTTAACAATTTCAGAGATTCTTCATATTTATTAAGTAATAATATTAAGTTCAAATGTCGAAGTAATTTTAAGTAGGTGCGTAATTTTAACACAGGAAATGAGCCATTACTCTTAAGCCCATCTCTTCAGCGAGGTCTTTTTAATATGTAAACAATAGTTTCCGACATAATACCATTATGTTCCTTCGTCAACTTTTCCATCATTTTAGTTCGTTTTTTACGCAGTTTTTTTTTTTGCTGCTTTTCATACATATTTGTGTATAATGTTATTTTGAATGCTCCACAATATGATAACAAAATTATTTTATTGCTATATGTACTGTACTATTTATGTGGTCAACTGCCTCGGTGGTGTAGTGGCTAGCATGTACGACTGCACACACGGAGGTCCTGGGTTCGAGTCCCGGGTCGGGCCAAGTTTAGTTATTGAATCTTTCTGTATAGTAAGTCTTAGTAACAGCCCGGAGTTGGGAAGTTGGCGGTGATTCAACCCCGTGCCTCGGAGAGCACGTAAAGCCGTCGGTCCTGCGCCTTGACTCTCACTGGTCGTGACGAGCAGTCGTCCCACCGGAGTATGAGAGTGACAGGAATAAAGAGTGCACTTGTGTCTGCGCGTACACTTGTGCACTATAATATCTCCCGCGCAGTTGGCTAGTCTCAATGAGATTGGTCGCCGTAATTGGCCGGAATCGGCTAGGAGAACATCATCACTATATATGTACGGTACTTTTATTTGTTTATCGTGAATGTTCTTTGTAATTAATTATAATAAATATTTATTTGTTTCCCAAATAAAAATATAAAGTTAACCTTGTCATATTCACCTATTATTTGCCTCTTATATTATCTAAAGTATTCGATTAAAATATCTGATTACGTACCTATAGTAAATTAAAACCCTCGATTAGTTATTTTTTAATTTTTAGTTTCTATTTTTTAGTGTTATATTTAATAGGTTTTTGTGTCTGAAAGTCGGCTTTTCTCTAAGCTCTTTGGTATAAAAATAAACATTATTTACAAAATCATACTTTTCTTAATTAATATGACACTTAGAAGATTGTTATTTTAATTAGATAAACAATTATAAGTAATGACTTATTTATCTTCAATTTATCTGTATTTAAGTAGTATGATTTTATCGTGATCCCCTTTCGAATAGATGTTACATTGTTGCAATATACATATAAATAAAATCGAAGTGTCTCGTAATAAATTGTAAGATTTTTGAAAAAAAATGTAGGTACCTGTAATACAAGTTCAAATAACTTTAAAAAACTATACGCTACTACTATATACTACATCCTATGTTTATAGAATATATGTATGTAAGACATATATTATATAAGGCAGATATAAAGTAGCGCACGCCTATATAGCAACTCATCAGCCATTTTTTTCTGACTCCAAAATTTAAGTTATTATGCATTCCGACATATGCACACTTTTATTGAAATAAAAAATAATATCTATACTCGGCGGTAATGTAGCTTTAAGCGGTAACTATTAGTGAAACAATTGTCCGAATCGAATCAGGAGGTTCAGAGATTTTTTTTATAATACTAGTGTAGATAACATAGATTACCTTTGTAACCTTCACTCAATATTCGAACATATCAATACTTTGCATATCTAATCGAACCGTTTAACATACAAGATGTTACAGATACAAACATATTATATATATACATATAATAAATTTGTAACTAAGCTGAATCTGTACATTAAATATTTTTTGAAAAATCTTATTGAAATAAACATTATTATGGATACAGAGGCCAAATCTATGGTTTTTAGAATTTTTGTCTGTCTGTCTGTCTGTTACCGCATCACAGCTAAACCACTGGAGGGATTTTAATGACATTTGATATATTGATAGCTGGTTATCCGGGTCAATATATAGGATTACTTTTTACTGTGGGAAAATATCTCATTCCTGCGAAAAAATACAAAAACTGCAATGTAAGAGTACTAATATGTAAAACCCAAGAATTTGGTTTTTGGACATCTGAACGCGGGCGGCGCCGTGGGCAATGCTAGTGTTAAATAAACATAGCCTTACAAATCATGAACTTTTCTATAGGTCGCATATAAAAGAATTATTTAAATAATCCTCATTTTACTTTTTTGATATTCAGAAAAGAGACCATTACTGACCATTAGAGTTTGGGAAGTATCGATATTCCCAAAGTACCAACTAATACTCGTAAATATAAGAGTAGTATAAAAATCAACGTTTATTAAAACATATTTTATGTTTCAAATTCTAACATCGTTATTAATAGTCTAAACAATTTGTATATTTCATTCCTATAATCACTAATTCAGTTTTTGGCAGTAAAATCTTATAATTATAAAGCAAACTTAACGACGCTTCAAACAATTGCAGCTAGTTTTTTAATGTTGGCTTGGATTTTTACTACAATTTCAGGTAAATTTTCTGCAATATTTTTTCAGTTTTTTCCATTTGACTTTGAAACGACTTACCTGGTTCATTGTGCACAGTGGTCGAGCTACTGGTACTAAGTTTGGCGTCCATTATTGTCAATTCTGGTGTTTGGATTTTTGTCGTTTTATTTTCAAAAATTCTGCAATACAGTTCTTCCAGAAACGCAAGTGCAGTTTTACTCAATTTCGTAAAAAAATGTCTCGAGTCTCGACCCGAAAGTCCCGGGACCTGAGGCAGCTAAATTTACAAAAAGTCTTACTGACAATATACGAGCAGTTTACTAGCATTCGTTCACGATTCTACTTGAATGTTACGGCTATGACAAATAGTTTGTGTCGCAGCACACGATTATAAATTTCCCCTTTAAAATAATATTCAAAATAAACAGTTTTCGTTCTAGCCTCTGTCCAGTGATCAGATCGTGGACCAAAAATTAACTTAATAATATCACCCTCTCAATTTACTATATTCCAACATTCGTTAGTACAAACCTAGAAAATGAATGGAAAAAAATAATGTCTGCTTGGTCCTAATAAACAGAACTCAACATGGAGTAATTTTGAAATAACAGACAGACACTTCAATTTTATTTGTAAATTTACATTGTGTCCGACTAACATCGAGACCAGTTATTTGATGTCCAGACATGTACAGTCGATAGCAGAAACTAGTTTTCTAACAGACAAATGAACTAATAATGCAAATATCAGAAAACATAAATATTTATAATGTTAATTAAAACGTGCAAAGAGTGGAATAAAAGATTGGATATTTAAAATATTACGTTCTATTTTTCCCGATTGCGACGAAGGCCAAAGGTGGGTTTGACCTATACTTATTGTGTTTACATCAGCAAATCCATGATTTTTCGACAAAAGTGTGCGCGTGTGGATCACCGATTTGGACGCTGATTTTTTTCGAAAGTTGCTTAGAAAAGGAGAAGATCCTGAAAATTTTAGCTCGATATGATTAAATACAGCCGCTAGAGAATTTTTTGAAAATTGAATAAAGTTACATTATTTTTTAATCAATTTCAACTTTTGGTTTTGACATGATTTCGGAGCTATGAATTATTAAAACTGTCAAATTTTCAACTTCATTTCAATCAGTTTTATAATGTTACGACGTATCAATTAATACTTGTATTATTCTTTTTAACGTCCCACTGCTGGGCACGGGCCTCCCTTCAATACGAAGGGGATCAGGACATAGTCAATTAATACTTATTCGAAACCTTATAGTAAAGGAGGAGGTTAAATGCTTTTGTTGTAAGTAAAAATAAATAATCAAGATGTGTGGTTTTGTTTTTTTTTCTTTTGCAAATATTATTAATTGTTTTTAATTTATTTGAATTTATATATTTTTTCATCCAAATTAAAACGTAGATACCAACTAGGTATGTATAAATATGCCTCGATCATTGTCTCTATTACTAATAAATAAAGTATCAACTTCGGCAATTGGCCAAACAAGAAAAATAAAACTGCGGAAGTAATATAAAACAATCGAGTTCTAAAGTAGAGTCATTCAATTTTTCAGAGAAATGAGATTTTTTAGATAATTTTTTATAGAATAGAAAATAGAGAAAAAAATTGTTAATTATTTTCTTCATTTATTTAGCACAGACATAAAATATTTATTGCTTACCTTATAATATAACGCCTCACGATCTTAGATTTTCCGACAGCCACGAGCTAACTTTATCACTAAACTCATTTGACGATCAAACTATTATTATCACTTACATTTCAATATGCTTTGTGACTAAAACAGTTTGATAAACACTCGTACGCTTGTTGTACTCTAATAAAACCACGAATAGTGACTACACGTTCTATATAACAATGACGTTATCTAAAAAACTTACTATGAGCACAACATAGTATATAATCTGGATTTTTTTTCGTTGCTTAGTTTTATTTTTCAACAGATATATATTAACACAAAACTAAGCAGAATAACAACAAACTACAAAGTCAAGTCGTATTAAATCAATGACTCTATAAACACAACATAGTCTATGCCATGGGTCGAACGGCCTTGACTTTTATTTAAATACTTCAATACTGTTGTCACTGAGCTACGTCACTAGCCGGTACAGTATTTGTTTTTACCCGACTGCAACAAAGACCAAAGGAGGGTTGTGTGTTTGACCTGTATGTATGTATGTAGGGTAAAATGGCGGATCCTAGGGTAAAGGGTACATAGGGCAAAATAGCGGCAAAAAAATCTTAGGCACCAGTTTGTGCCTTCAAAAAAATATTTTTCGTCCGAAACAATCGAATCGGGATATCAAAATACAGGTTTTTGACCGACTGCAGCAAAGCCTAAAGAAGGGTTACGTGTTTGACCTCTATGTTAGTATGTATGTATGTATGTGGCATATATCCTCCATGATCCACGATGCTTCATAATTACTAAACGGCTTTACCGATTTTTATGATTTATATGTCGTTAAATTCGTTTTCATCACGCGAGTTTTATAAAATATATAAAAATAGTTGAAAATCAAAACGCCCGATTTTAGGCGCTAAGTTGTGTATTTTTAAAAAGAACGTTCTGAACCTATTGAGTAAGATATCAAAATAAAGGCTTTTAAAAAGCTATCACATATATATATATCCAACTACTATGTTTAAAAGTTATTTGGTATAAGAAACAGGTAAATAAAAGTCCAAATGTCTAACTAGCCATAACTAAAAACTGTAAATACATGTTTCATCCTTACTTTTTTCCTTCGTCAACTTGTTCCTATCTTTTTAGTTCGCTTTTCACACAGTCGTTTTTATATTTTGTATTTTTTTTATTCAATATGTTTACTAAATATATTTATTCTGTACAATAGACGACATTTAAATGTTAAATTCATTATCTCGATGATTTCGCAATAACTCGCTGACAACAGCATTTTCATTGTCTTGACTTCATAGTAGATTAAAATATATATTCTTCCTGTATATTAAACGAAATAAAAACTTGTACTTTACCAAACACTATTTTAATTTAGAATATTTATACAGATAAATAAAATTAAATATCTGTTTGTAATATATAGACACACAGTAGCGTGTCAAGCCAAGTTCAAGCCTAAGGAGACGCAGCAGCCGTGTGTTATATTACACGAACCATTCGCAGCCACTTTTGACCTCCTTATAACTCAAAATCTATTTAACATAAACACATGAAAATGAAATGATACATTTATTAAATCCCCTTAGATAAACTAGAACCTCAAATTTCATAAATACAGCTCAAACGGTCAATTTTGATTAACACCTAGAACTGAACGCCTTCCGAAATTATAAAAGCAAAAACTTTTTCGAAATTATAAAAGCAAAAACTTTATAATAGATTATTTATAAAATTAAGACAACCAATACTAACATAAACTGGCAGCGCTGGCTCAAACATTACTGCGAACAATTATTGTGCTATAAAAGAAATACATTCTTACACAATCTTGCCAGTTATATTTGAAAATAGTAAAAGTTTATTAATTTTATAGATCACTTTGGAATGATAAATAATAATTATTTCTTTACAAAACATCCCATCAAAAACATAAATGTGAAAATGGATGCCAAGTTCAATATTAAGAACATGCGTAGTTGTTGACTTCGCCGACAAAAGAATTAAGGTCTAAATGGGTTCCAAGTTTAGTAGATCTGAGAGTTTATTTATAAGAACATACAACATTCTAAAATGAATTTAAAACACAATTACAAGGTTTTAGGTTTTTTTTGCTACAACTATGTTTGCTATTTATTAATATAACTTTTTATATTTAAACAATCGAGTTATTTACACAAAGCAGATAACTTAGATAAAATGAAGTTCAAGATATGAATTGGCTTCTTAATATTGAATTTGTCTTCCAATTTCACATTTATGTTTTTGATGGGTCAAAATAAGAGCTTTTTACTAAATTCAAATAAAACTATTATATACGGTACTTGAAGAAAAACACAACTTTTAAAATTTTTATCTGTCTGTTTGTTCGGGCTAATATCCGAAACGGATGGACTGATTTTGACGTGACTAAAAACGGGGAAAAAATTATAACTTATTATTAAGTTGTCTGTACATATCTAACGTGCTTAGTTCTTTAATGAGTTTATATACTATATTATGAACAAAGTGACTTTTATTACATAATAGTTGTTTGTTAAAATTTGATATTATCAGTAAGTTTCAAGGTTCAATCATTATATTTTATCAAGACAAGAATTTAATAGACATACAACAATATTCCTTAAATCAGCTATAATACGAACACACTCTTCTGGACTCTGGAGTCCAGGCTCGTAAAATATAGAGTTGTTCATTACGAATATACAAATTATACATTATCGAGTAAAGTATGTAGTTTTTAATTATATTTTTTATTAACAGCCACAAAAAATAAAAGTTATGTAAGTACAAAAATGTATTGATAAATAATTGATTAGGTACATAAAATATTACATCACCACAATTTATTTTCATGGATTTTTTTAATGTTTTCGTGTTATTAGAATCAGAATAGATTTTATCATATTTATATATTTTCAATTATAAAACACGTGCAGCTTGGGTAGGTTGAAAATTAAAATATATTCTATTAATCCATACAATATATATTCAATAATGCAAATTTCATTTATGATGATTTTAATCAAAATTTAACTGTCGGAATGATCCTTCAACGCCAAAGAGTCCGTCAGCAGTCTTAGGTTGTCCGGGTCGCTTAGACTCATCAGTACCGAATTTTGAGTCTTCCTCGATCCATGAACTGTACTCGTTCTGTACCTTATTTTTCCAATATTCTAAAACAAGTTACATGTTACTTAAGAAACATTTAATAAAACATAAATATATTTAGTGTTAATTGCCCACCAATTATTTCTTTTATAGTTCCCCCATTTCCACCATACTCCACAGGCAGCTCCTCTTTGCATATACCGCTTTCGTACATTTCCTCATAATTTTTATTGTGAACATAAAGCTAAAAAATAAATGTTAAAAATATATATACATAAATAAATTATTAATATAGTTATTCGGTGAAATTAGCCCGAAAAATAGAGGTATAAATTGCCCTAGCATAAATTGCCAAGAAGCTGATTTACATGAACGTTAGAGTTACCATTATACGAACCTTTAATGTATAACAAGAATAGTTATTGCAAGTGTATCCTAGGAGATAGACATATACTATTGCAGACTTTTCTGTAGACGTTTTTAAGATATACAATTTTCTAGTACATTGTTTTCATGTAAATATCACTTAATGTTTAGCCAGCGTTAGCCATATAAATTTCGACAACTCGATAGAACCAGTTATTGTGTTTTCCTGTAGGAATGAATTTTTTTCCTGTAGTAAAAGGTATCCTAAATGTCGACCCGAGTAATATGTTATCACTTCAGCCGTTGAAACCTGTTCATTACTTTTTACGTGAAACGCGCACACACAAACAGACCAGATTTTTAATAACTATTGTTTTGGTGGCTATATTATGTACATAATATGTTTCAGTCATTGTTAAAAAAATATTTCATGTACAGATTTCGCTAAGTTACTGCTTTATTATAGTATATAAAAAACGCGCCAAGTACACTACCTAACAGGTGGCATGGAAACGTGTGTATAGTATCAGGAATCCCATCAAAAACATAAATGTGAAAATGGGAGCCAAGTTCAATATTATGAATAAGCGTGGTAGTCAACTTCACCGACAAAAGAATTGAGATCTAAATGGGTGCCAAGTTCTGTAGATAATCCTGATTTTTTTTCATAAGAACATACAACTTTCTAAAATAAATTTAAAACACAGTTTTTTGTTTTTTTTTTCTGCTACAAAAGTGTTTGCTATTGAAAAATAGAACTTCTTAAATTTGAACATTCGAATTATTATTGTAGATAACTTAGGCTAAATTTAAGTTCAAGATTTGGCTTGGCTAGTTTCTACCCATATATGAAATTTTTAGAAGTGTGATACATGTTGACCTGGCAATATAAAAACATTAACGTACGTCTAACATAAAGAAGATGTAAGAGATTAGTCGAATATATGATATCCCATAACATGACTTTTTGTAAAGAAACTATTATTATTCATAATTCCAAAGTGACGTGTAAATTCAATCTTTTTTTTCATAATTTTGCGACTATTCGTTAGGGGATAAGGCGGAATAGAAAAATGTTATTAAATCATCAAGGAACCTTTTCTCCTCAGAAAAAAAAAGTTTTAGCTATTACTATGATTATTATTGCTATTATATTTTAAAAGGCACTAGATGTTAAGCTATTGCTATGAAGTTTTGGAAGGCGCAAGGTGTTAATAAAAATTATTTTAATTATTATTTTTTTCAAATTTTATAAATTTACTGTTTTCGGATTTTTCCCTTTGTATGCACACGATTACCCACCTGGATACCAAATTTCAACTTTCTTCTTCTGTCAGTCAGTCAATGGTAAAAATTCCGATATTTAGACGTGATTATCTCAATAACAGTTTGGGCTGTATTTATGAAATTTGAGGTTCTAGTTAATCTAAGGGGATTAAATAAATGAACCAAATTTCATGAGTTTATGTAAAATAGATTTTGAGTTATTACGAGGTGAAGAGTGGCCTCAAATGGTTCATGTAAATATACACACGGTGCTGCGTCACCAGTTCCTTTGGCTTGAACTTGGCTAGACACGCTACCGCGTGGCTTGATAAGACTTTAGCAAATTTTAGAATCGCTTTTTGACTTATAAATAGTTAATTTTAGGGGGGAAAGTGTAAGGCCAATTTCTGTACATAATTGCATGATCTCCAATTTTTGATTAAATTATTTTTATCATAAAATTAACCCTTTCTCGCGAACTTTGACCAACTTTGACTTTGTATAAAATTTTTTGCACACTTTGCACACATGGAATCGATGGGGACTTGTCACAATTTCGTTATAGTGGTATCTCTAACGTTCATATAAATTTTCAGCTTCTTGGGAATTTATGCAAGGGTGAATATCTATTTTGACCGGGCTATAGATATTGCATATAAGTTACTAATACGAAATAATTTTAACAAAAAAAAATACAAAGAAAAGTCTTCCAAGAAAGTTTTACCCTTTTTCTATTTTTCTCGTTGAGTAAAGTCTTAATAGCGTTAAAAATTGTTTCGAATCCAGGTGGAGTGTTTATATAATGAGTTCCTTTCATACGCATTGGCATAGCATCCTGTAAAAAAAAGAAAATTGTAGTTTCAAATACGTTCTTTATATTTTACACTTGCTCTTCCATTTTCAAGTTCGGCAAAAATATCTTAGTCCTAAAAAAACCGTAAGTAAGTTCTCAGGAAAATAATATTTCTAAACTTATTTATATAAAATTTTAATTTTTATTTTTTAATATAATATAAAATTTTGTGATTTCTCATAATAAATTCAATTCAAAATCAATATTAAGCTGTTTTAAACTGTTAGGTAAGTGCTGGAAGGGCAATTGTAATAATATTTCGTATCTTAACATAAAACAATAAAAAATTACAAGACAATTTCTTAAAGATTTACTAATATTTACCTGTGATAGTACTGCCATTCTTTTCATAACACTAGGTGTCATTTGTAAATAATGCGACATCGTAACTCCTTCTAAATCCAGTATTGTCCGCATGCCAGATATTATAACAGAATCGTCTTCCACCATTAAAATCTAAAACGTTTGTAAATTAATAAAAAGGCTAGCTAAAGCCTGTGACTTTGACCTACATAAAATGTCTTCTTTATCTTACTTCCTAGAGTTTAACGCGAATACTCGGCATTTTAAATACAAGTATGTATATAAATGCGGATATTTTCTGCTTATTGTTCCCCAATCCAAACACTAAAATAAGTCTTGTAAAATTACGAAAATATAGTTATATTTACAATTTCTTCTCTATTAATTTAGTAGTTATAAAAAAAAGTGAAAAACCACCACTTGACATCCACCCTATAGACCACTTGATAACATGTTTTTCAGATCTGCAAATCCTTATGCTCGTGAAAAAAAAATCCGTTGCCAATGTGGAATTATTTTCTTCTATCCTTTGAAAATTTTTGTTGTATATATGTTACTGTAAAAGCTCAAATTATGGTTAATCCTAAGATTTTCCAGTAAAACCTAAGATTTACCTACTCTTAACAGAAAAAGTCCGAAATCTTCAATGATTATTGTTCATGTAGAACTTTTACCACCATTCACTTGGTAAATCTCAGGTTTTAGTTTGACAAATGTGGAAAAATTGTTTCTAAACGTCTCGTGTTCGGCGCATCGTCTTGTATAGTTTCCGTCACGTATAAAGAACGCTAGCCGTTTACATGCGCACTGAGCGATTTATCAATAAAATTGGTGGTATGAAGGAGGTGCGACGGGGGAGTACTTACTATGATTCTACCATAAAACAATTACATTTATATAAAAAACAATAGCGTAGTACTTTAGTACGCGGCTACACCCGTGCGTAGTCACATTCCCTCCACTGTCGCTCAGCGTTCTTTTTATGTGATGGGACCTATACTCGTGGGTTGTCTGTAGCTCCCCGCTTCCCATACCACCCCCATCGCTAGCTCTGCTCGCCGCAGTCGATCGCTTGGGACATTTAGAACACGTACGGTAATAATTAATTCGATTACTGCTTAACATTTAAAGTTTTTAATTATGTGTCAGGCCCAACATAAATAACGTAGGTTGAAGAAGTTTCTCGTTAGGTCTTCTTTTTTATTTCAAACCCAGAACCACCACAATCATAAGTGCTATGTTATTATTTTGGTGACAGTTTCGAGTCGAAAAATTATAGGTGTCGGACAGTATCAGAAGAATTGGAAGCGTTAAAATGACAGTAAATATCATTATAATGTATAGAAATATTGTAATTTTGAGTCTCTCAAACGCAAAATATTCCTAAAAAATCGCTATAACCCCGCCTATACGAAAATACCACCCGCTCCTGAAGAGGCTGCGTTACATATACTAAACTGCAGCCCTGAAATTCATGATATTGTAGACGAGCTCGTGGCAAGAAAGAATATTATTAATTAAGAATTATTATTATTAAACTTTTATCTCGACAAGGACAAATATGCAGTGTTTATATAAACCAACATTTACCAACCATCGTTGGTGAAACCTAGCATGTACCAAACTGATAGTAAAAGCCCGAAAGGTAGGCGAAAGGTTAGCATTTACCAACTCATGTTGGTAAATGCTAAGATATACCTACTAGTAAAACCTAAGGTTTGCCAATATACGGGCCTTTACAGTAACATATATACCTATTCATTATATTTTTTTTTGTGATAGTCCCCTGCAATCAGTCGCCAAACTATAAGCAGGTAGGTTGTGCGGTAGGTAATGACTGATAGAGCAGCAGGGCCAATGCCTCGCTATTCATTATATTAGTATAATAAAATAACTAGGTATTTCAACTTTGCAGCCTACAATAAAATAAAGCAACAAAAAATATGTAAAAAAGATATTTACCCTTTGTATCAATACTGATACACAGAATATATCAGTCATTTTAAATTTATCTGGATTATAAACACCAGGCCGAATGATTGCTACCCGTTGCGCGTCAGGCGTTGCAGATTTCGGCAATACAATATAAACTCTGAAAAATTAAAAATAACGATTGACGTCATTAATATTGACTAACGGTAATAATTTAACAATATTTTTTAACTTACAACTCAAAAAAAGTAATGCATACTTATTATACATACGTATTAAAATATGTTATGATTTAATACAAATTTTATACCTAAGCATTACCGAAGCATTTTTTATAAATAATAGTATAAATAATATAGTAAAAGTATAAATAATAAGTATTAAATAATGCTAAATAAAGTAATAGTGGTACATCACTAAATTAACTACAGATAATTATGAAAATCACCAGTACAGAAATCTAATTAAAATATACTTAGACCGGATCACATTTAGTAACTGCAAGCCAAAATAAATGTCATACCGCAGATGGAAACTATAACCATATTAATATTACTAAATTAAACTACCCCAAATCCATAATTTCTTTTAGAACAGAATCAGTAGGCTTCAATATGAACAGCTCTGGGGCTAGATTACGCATAGAGTAGTATAAATCCAACTTTTCCTTTGTTCTTTCCAGGCTATATTTACAGCCCCGTAAGAATCCTATTAGCCATTGGTCATCTGAAAACATAACAAATTACGATTTATAACTCTTAGTAATACAGTATACTATTATATGATCTGTGGTAATACTTTACAAGCAAGATACCTATAAAAATAATTAAAAAAAAAACAATCTATTCCTATACTTGCTTATTTCCTACTATACTACTTGTTAGTAGTGTACCTACCTAGACTGAGCATCGTTATCATCGGTATACCCATGTACAGGTACATACATATATTAATACATGAACAGAAATCTTTGGGCCCCTTTTTAAGCATAGTGCGCTCGAGGCTTTGGAATAATTAATGTTTGTATGGAGAAGAAAAACAGAAAATTAAAATTTATTAACTTGCTTTTGCCTGCTTCATTTAGCTTATTTATGTATAATTACTTCGCTTCTAAATTTTGCAACGCTGTTAGATAGCCTTTAACCTTTATCAATTTTATACTAATATATAAAACTGAAGTTTGTTCGTGTGCACGCTAATCTTTGGAACTACGATCTGATTTAAAAATTCCTTTCGCATTTTGTTTTTTTTGTTGTCTATTTTTAGAAAAAGGTTACAGGCTAACTATGTATCTTTGATAGAATAATCTCAATACCGATCAATGAATTATGATAGATTATTGATCACTGGACGAAAATGTGCTTCTTAAACAGTTTACAAAGGTTTTAAGGTATAATTTAAAAAATAAGATATAACAAATATCTCGCTGATTAACCTGATCTAGCGCGTAGGTGCGGCTGCTTTGCCAACCAATCCTTAATATGCTGCACATCACTAGCAATCCTCTGTGAATCTTCATTGAGTTCAACCCGAGCCTTCTCTGCCAGTTCCGGACACAAAGGTCGAATTTGCATTTTTTACCTGTTTACTTTTAACTTTTAGAAAAACGTATCTTTTCTCTTTCGAATTTGCACTTTTACTAATCCTATTTTTAATCAACGTAATGTGATTAATAATAATATTATCTTTGATAGTAATTTATCAGTTTTATAAGCAGATAACGTTTGGTCGTTGCGAATCAATAGGAGTTTTATACATTTCTTATATAATACTAAAATTTAAAAGGCTGATTGACTTGACTGACTGACTAACTGATTTACACATTTCCAAACATACATAGGTACCTGTCATATAACTTGTGTAAAAAATACTTTACTAATCTATACATATAATAAAATTGTAACTAAGCCGAATCTGTACATTAAATATTTTTTAGAAAATCTCATTGAAATAAACATTATTATCGATACAGAGACCGAATATATAGTTTTTAAAATTTTTGTCTGTCTGTTACCGCATCACGGAAAAACCACTGGAGGGATTTTGATGAAATTTGGTATGGCGATAGCTGGTTAACCGGATTTTTTACCGCGGGAAAATATCTCATTTTTGAGAAAAATACAAAAACTGCAATGTAAGAGTATACTAATATGTAAAACCTAAGAATTTGGTTTTTGGTCATCTGAACGCGGGCGGAGCCGCGGGTAATGCTGGTCTATAATATTTACAATTGTACACATATGTAATAGGCAAAGACATAACAATTCAGTACATTTTTCTCTTCTGTTTGTCAACCGATTTTATTTTTATATTTTTTTTCTCGTTTAGAAGCTATTGACGTCCTTTAATTTAATCATTAAAAAATCAATCAATCAGTTACTTTTTTAATATAGATTGATAAATTCTATTTTTATATGTTTTCCTCAAATTTTTAATGATGAATGAATTTCAAAATGGTCGAATTTCGACCACTGGGCGAACACTAGTTAATTTTATTCGGCTTAGTTACTGAAATGATTACAAATATCATTTATGTAAACGAATGATACCCGTAGATATTGCTGATATCTTGGCAATATGATTGTGATATCACATTTTGTGCAAGATATACAAACACTGCACCCTTATGAATACAATAAAATTCATATGAACTGCCACACTAGTAACTGTGTACGGGTAAGTCTGAGACTCTGGGAGTCATTTAGAAGAAGTTTCAGTTTTATATTTCCAATGAAAATCCAAAAAATAAAATTGAGATATAACGAATGTTCGATTTTTCACATTCGCGAATGCGAACGTGAACATTCTTCTCTTTCGTGACAGATAGACAAAAATTCTAAAAACTATAGATTCGGCGTCTGTATCGATAATAATGTCTATTTCAATAAGATTTTCCAAAAAATATTTAATGTAAAGATTCAGCTTAGTTACAATTTTATTATATGTATAGATTAACAAGAACAAAAGAGAACGTATTTCAAAATTATTTAGTTGCCTACCTCAAGACTGTTCCATAATCATTTTTTATTCAAATATGAAATATTATAAGTAAATAAAAAATATAAATCTTATCAGTTGTATTAGGTATTATTCCATATATCCTTTTTGAGTGTCAATTACATTCGCCAATCTTTCGCATCGTTTCTCAACGAATGCAAATGGCAAAAACATGCGAATATTCGTTACATTACCAAATACCTATTAAAATCCACTTGAGCCATATTCTTATTTTGATTTAAATGTCCTAGTTATACTTAGCAAACTAGCATTGCCCGCGGCTCCGCCCGCGTTAAGATGACCAAAAACCAATAAAATAGTGCTATTATTATGATTTTTTTCAAGATAAGCTATTTTTAATAGTTTTTGCCTTATTTACTAAATTACCTTACTGAAACATATATAGTATCATCGTGGTTTTATTCTAACCAGTTTTTGTAGTTTTTCTCAGAAATAAGAAATTTTACCGCGGTAAAAAGTATCCTATATATATGTTGACCCGGATAACCAGTTATAACCATACTAAATTTCATCAAAATCCCTCCAGTAGTTTTTCTACGATGCGGTACAGATAGACAGACAGACAGACACAAAGACAGACAGACAAAAATTCTAAAAAGTATAGATTCGGCCTCTGTAACGATAATAATGTCTAATTCAATAAGATTTTCCAAAAAATATTTAAAGTACACATTCGACTTTATTAGAATTTTATTATATATGTATAGATATCAGACAGAAGATTAAAAAAAATCTGTGCAACCTTACGAGGCGCTAGCTTACTTACTAGCACTGAAATTCTGCTGTGAATTTAGAGCTACTGCTCTAAAAATACACAAGTACACCAAACAATAATTTAAAATGTGTGATAAAGCCTATTTTACATACAGAACACAACATATAGACTTAGATTTATAATAGTAATAAATAAAAATGTTTGTAGGTTTGAAAACTTTGATTTCTATATTAGACTCAACTGAAAACAAATACTAATGTTAAAAATGAACAAATACTACATAAAACTTTACATAATATAATTGTTACGTAAAGAACCACCCCAGTTTTTACGTAGACCCAACTAACTGCACTCCATACTTCCTAAAAACCTTCGTTATCACCAGTATAAAAAATAATTGCTTTGTCATTAGACAAAGTAATGATTTTTTATACTGATTATATTACAGTTAGTTATTAAACTATTTTAATGCAGATTACGCGTTGGCACCAACATATAAACTGTAAACGTAACGTTAGGCCATGGCACCTGACATCTATACATATAATAAAATTCTAACTAAGTCAAATGTGTACGGTAAATATTTTTTAGAAAATCTTATTGAAATAGACATTATTATCGATACAGAGGCCGAATCTATAGTTTTTAGAATTTTTGTCTGTCTGTCTGTCTGTTACCGCATCACAGAAAAACTATTGGACGGATTTTGATCAATTTTGGTCATCTGAACGCGGGCGGAGCCGCGGGAAATGCTGGTCTATTATATTATCAAAGTATAACGCTCAAAGGTAGTAGGTATTTGAAATATTAGTGTATGTAAAAAGTAGTGTTTTAGTTTTTTAAAGTATTTAATAAAAAAAAATATCTTCATATATTTAATAACTAACATTAGTCAAAGTCCAATTGCCGGAAGGAGCCTTCAACTCCAAACAAGCTTTCCGCAGTTCTTGGCTGACCGGGTCGTTTAGATTCATCCGTGCCATATCTCTCGTCCTCCTCTAGCCACGAACTATATTGTTTTACCTTGGTTATCCAATAATCTGTATTAAAAAAATAAATTACTTTAACTGTACTACATATAATTTAAAGGCTACATAGGTATTTAATTCGTACATCAGTAAATGTATGTAATTCAAGGGTATGAGTGAACAAAATCATTTTTAACAAAAAGAAATACTCGTAGTCGTAGAATATTTTACCTGTTATTTCTTTCAATGATACACTATCACCACCATATTCCTGTGGTAATATTTCTTTAGGTATTTTTTTGTATAATTCCTCACTATTTCTACATACAAATATCTGCAAGAAAAGAGAAAAAAAAATAAAATATACAGGGCATTTCACGTGAAGCGCACAACGAAAATAAAGTGAGGTTGTGAAAATTGTTCATACTCTGGTCAGTTATAGTTCTAGTGGACATGGATGTGCAAATACATTATTTTTTTCGTATTATGCTTTATTGCCGAGTTATGTATGAGCTTTTAAAAATTTACGAAGTATGAAATCTGTACTTTTTGAATGCTTTTTATTTGTATCAATCACATCATACCAATAATAAATACCTACTTGTAGTAACAGAACAGTTTTATTTACTGCTTAAATACTTTGATCTACACTTTAAATGTAGGCAAAATCGTCCTAAGCTGACTCGACGACTTGAAGATAAATAATCTGTTCATCTATACATATAAAAAAATAGTAACAAAGTGAAATCTGTGCATGAAATATTTTTAAAATGAAATGCACTTTATTCAATTAGACTTATTACAAGTACTTTTGAATCATCAATTTAATGAAAGCGTCAGTCTAGTCAGTCCGTGAGGAAGCTGCCACCAGCTCGGAAAGCAGTTCTGCTGAGAAGAACCGGCGAGAAACTCAACAGTTGCTCTTTTAAATATAGAGGTAAATTAATAAGTCGATTAATTAACTCGAGTAATAAAACTGTTCCGTATTGTATACACAGTATTATTATGTAAGTATTATCTATACTAATATTATAAAGAGGTAAAGTTGTGAGTTTGTGTCGTTGTAGGAGGTAATCTCTGGATCTACTGAACCGATTTAGATGAAATTCCGTAACAAGATAGTTTGAGACCCTGGGAAGGATATAGGATACTTTTTAATAAAGAAATAGATATGAAAGTTTGTATGTGGAATCAACCTAGGGACGAACCGGAGCGAAGCGAGGGTGAGTCGCTACTCGCTAGTATTATATAAGAGTATAGACCCAAAAAATAGTTGATGATTTTTTTGTTTATTTTTCTTTTTCTCTTTATGGCTGTTTGTCAGTTTGCTTTTCACGCAAAAAGTATTGAAAGGATTTTAACTAAATGTTGTGTAGTGATAACTTACTACTCAAGCCAATTTAGTGTTCTAAAATCTCTCATTTTCATGGGAAAATTAAAAATTTAGTTCGAGCAAGAGTTACTCATCTATACCTAGGTATACATCTTTCTGTGTTTCTGCACTTACTTTGGATTGTTGTTTAAAACTACACTACGGGTTTCGATACGGTTTTAAGTAATAGAAAGAGAATAAGCATCATGGTCAAGCGGCCAAGGCGCAAGATTGAATAAGTGTCCGGGTTCGAATTTTTTGTATTTATTCATGTTTTTTGTTTTTTTTTTAAAAAAAGAAGATTGTACTTATGACCAAAAACTCCGAGCGAAGCTCGGTGGCTCAGGTACTATTTATTTATTTATAGTTTAGTAGATCTTAAAATAGTCGACAAAAAAGTCCACGTGGCCAAAAATCACTAGTCATCAATATAATAACGTTAATTCCTAATAAATTTTATGAATTAGAGAACCTTTAAATTATTACTAACTTACCCTATTTTTATTTTTTTCATTCAAGAAGCTCTTTAATGTTCCTAAAATTTTCTCAAAAGCAGCTGGCGCATTTAAAAAATGGACTCCTTTCATACGGAATGGTGCTGCGTCCTGTGAATTAGGTATCATAATAATTATTAATATAATTACAGTAATGCAAAGCGAATATATACATAATTATTGATAAGATCATATTATACCTATTAACACCTTCTAGATAATGCTACAAAATGGCGAATTACGGTTAGGTATATGTGGAAGTATTGTAATTGTGTTTGGGTGAATATTTATTTTATTTTTGAAGTAAAACTTTTCTAGAACCGTTGTGATTTGAAACTTGATGAAACGAAAATGTGACACGAGAAAGAGACAAACACATAAATACATTCGATTAAGCTGGCGAGAGAATGAGATAGAACACTACTACACTGGAAGTGAAAAAAAATACTAAATAATATGTTGTAATGTAAGTTATGCAAAATGTAAAATACCTTATAAACTTAGTAAAAAAAACTAAACGTGTTACTTATAAAAATGAATATTCTTTACTGTGGGATGAATGTGCATAAATTAAATAAAAGGTATGACTAATTGTTGCCATGGTAACCGTTGTTATTGTCTGACATATATATTATAATTGTATTTATTGTTATTGTAGCAAATACTGGTAAGCGAAATAATCCTTATAATTAGGGAACTTTTAATAAAAAAAAACCTAAAAAACCTATGAGTTGCTCGTATACGTTTAAATTTTTTATTCGATTGTTGTCGAACGATCGAATAGACTGAGCGTTCGACAACTGACAAGTCCTTGTACGTTTAACAGTTGGCTACCAAATTGTTATCGATATTGTCAAGGCGTTAGCGTTTATCGAAAGAGAATCGATATGGAGCGTTTGCCACTTAACTAAGGGTACCCGTATGTTTCAGTGTCATTTTAAAGACGTTTCACATCAAAACACATACCTGTGAATGAACAGTCATCCTCTTCATTAATCTTGGTGTCATCTGCAGTAGATGGCCTATGGTTACGTCTTTCAAATCAACAATCCACTGTATACCGGCTACTACTACCGTATCATCTTCGTTCAATAAAATCTAAAAATAAATTCATTTTTTTTTTCATAATTTAAAAAAATCTGCATGAATATATGTGTCTATATTTTATGTAAGTATGTACAATGTACATATATATATATATATATATATATATATACTAGCGACTCACCCTCGCTCCGCTCGGGTTCGTTCCTGGGGTGGGGTCTGGGAGGACCACCCTTATCCTTATCACTTAGGGATATGGAAAATATATAGTAGCCGATTGTCAGACCTACTGAATACGCATATAAAATTTGGTAAAAATCGGTAAAGCCGTTTCGGAGGAATACGTTAACTAACATTGTAACATGGACATTTTATATATTAGATATATAGATATTAGATAATATAGCAGCATGTTCTGTAAAGATTTTATAAATATACTTTTTTTTATATTTCTGTAAATCGATACAAGCAAATAATCATAACGATTACTTTTCTTGGTTATGGTAGTAAAAATTAATAATATAAAATAGAGTTCTCCGTTCCTAGAACTTCTTAAATTATTATAATCGCGTTGACTTATTCGTTATTACACAATTTTAAAATCATACCGTTTGTATCACTGTTGTGACGGAAAAGAAGTCGCTCATAGAAAGTTTTTCGGTACTAAAGGTTCCAGGACGAATTATTGCTATACGCGGAGAATCAGGCATCGCTGTTTTTGGTAATACAATATAAGCCCTGAAACATTAAAAAAGTTAAGTTGCAACCAATTGACTAGAAGGGGACTAAGATTGTAAAAAATTTACACTATCAACTAACAAATTATTTAGTTACCAAAATTTACAAACAATACATTCTGTCTGACATATTTACGTTAGAATATACCTACCCTACATTCAAAAAATCTTCAAAAATTGGATTATTATGTTTGATATTAAATAGTTCTGGTGCTAGAGTACGCAATGAATAAAAAAGATCTAATTTTTCCTTTGTTCTTTCAAGACTGTATTTACAGCCCCGTAGAAATGATACTAGCCATTGATCGTCTGAAAAGTTATCGCAATAAATTTATTATGATAAATATATAAAAGACTAGCATTGCCCGTGACTCCGCCTGTATTCAAATGACCAAAAACCAAATTCTTAGGTTTTACATTGCATTTTTTGTATTTTTTCTCAGAAATGAGATATTTCCCCACGGTAAAAAGTATCCTATATGTTGACCTGGATAACCAGCTATCACCATACCAAATTTCAACAAAATCCCTTGAGTGGTCTTTCCGTGATGCGGTAACAGGCAGACAGACAGACAAAAATTCTAAAAACGATTAATTCAGCCTCTGTATTGAAAATAATCTCTATTTTAATAAGATTTTCTAAAAAATATTTAATGTACAGTAGGCTTAGTTAGAATTTTATTGTATGCATAGATAAAATGTACATTAGAAATAAACAGTAATTGGTTAAAGAAAAGGTACTCACCCGTCCTAGCCCTTATATAGGGTTGTTTTGATAACCATTCTTTGATATATTGCAAATCACTTGCCACTCTCTTCGGATCTTCATTTAACTCTATCCGAGCTTTTTCTGCTAATTCAGGTGACAAAGGCCGTATCGTCATTATGATGAAAATAATTTAAAAAGGTATTTATGAGCTACAATACTTAGTACATGTACTCCCTATGGCTTAACTTACACAATACAAGACTTTAGTATCAATTCACGTCACTTGACAATTATTGTACACGTACATTATGTTATCTTTGATTGCCGCTATCTGATTATTCTCCGATAGCTGAATATTGGTTTTCTTTTTTAGGACAGATTTGTAAAGGAGTCTTATAATAATATTATTATATTTAAATGATATAACTTTTTTTGTATATTATAAGGTTTTCTTATTAAGAAAAAATAATGTTTTTCAAAATAAGTGAAATTCAACAAAAAGCATGAAATATAGGTAGTTATAATATCCATACTATAATATAATATTATAAATGTGAAAGTGTGTTTGTTTGTTTGTCCTTCTTTCACGGCGAAACGGAGAGACGCATTGACGTGATTTGTGTGGAGATAGTTGGAGGGCTGGAGAGTGACATAGGCTACTTTATACCGCGGGAGATTATCTAATTCCCACGGTAAAACACGTTATAATACAATGCAAATAAATATTTATGACCAGAATTACTTGAAACTTGGCATTAATGCTCTTCAATAAAATTAAATAAATACGTGTTTAAGCATTTTTCGAAATTCATTCTATAGGGGGTTAAAATAGGGGATGAAAGTTTGTATGAAACTACCTATCTAAATATTTCTTCGTTGTTTTAGCGTGAGCGAAGCCGCGGGTTCTGCTAGTATATATATGTTTGTTGAAAAGTAGGATGTCAGTTGACATATTAGGTACATACATATGTACCTATATCACATATGCCCATCGTAGTATATTTTTTTGTACTTTTTTCAGTATATTTCGTTAGCTATGATTCATTTATTTATGTAGATACAATTTAATTTTATATACTTGTTTTTTGTAAAAGAAAAAACAGAAGATCTATTTAATTCTGAATTAGATGCTAAACTTACTTATTAACACACCATATCCAATTCGATAAAGAAAAAAATATTGCTCATCATATTGCTCTCACTACTTTTGTGCCTAGTACATTCGTGTTTTGTTTCTACTTGACTTCTATTAACATAATGAAACTCGCTTAAATCACCAAATGCTGACGGCGGCGCGCCGTCTGCTGTGGACTAAAGTAAATAAACTACAGTCCAACATAACAGCCTGTCTAAAACCAAAATAATTCCACATTTGAGTTTTATTAAGAACTCATTTCAAACGAAACGCCAGTAAAATTTATATACCTACACGATTTGTTTTACAAAGACGTAAATCAAATTTAACAGCTCCCAACATTTTTTTTTTAAACATTGACGTCTTCGTTAGCGTTTCTAACTTTGCTTTTCTTTTTTCATTCGTGATTTAATCTTAGTAATATAATCATTTATCGTATGTTTGTTAAAAGTTAGTCGAATATCGAGGATAAAATTAAACAAGTCACTTGTTATACGATGAAACATTTATTCCGATTGCATAATTATATAATTTAATCGCTAAATTTATACAACCCTGTTAAATAAATTCGCTACTCTATTATACCTATGCGACACTACGTATCAAAAGTCAAATGTTTACAATATTAGTAGCCAATGTTGTCTGACTAACAGAGATCACGTTCAAAACTTATGGCATAATAAAAAGTAGAGTGAAAACAGAAAATCTATCTGAAACTAATTACTTGAGTGAACTGCCAAAAATATTTAGTCACAAATTAAAATGCAATGAAAAAATTGAAAATTATACAGTTTTATCTAAAACCACTTTTAAAACACACTAATAAAGACTTAAATATACTTTTTTAGAAAAGCGCTTAAGACTGAATGACTTACACGATTAATATTTTTACAGGAACCGTTTTGTGGCAAACGAATAATGTAATTCGAGACAAGGATGGTACTGCCGTGCCCTTTTTTGCTCGACTTAGCGGAGGCACTGCCGTGCCCCCCGATATACACAAATAATATAATATATACCTATATGTAGTATACTTTCTAAGAAGTGTAAATCATTAAAATCCTAATCTATATATAATTTATTGAATTAAAATAAATATGTATTTCTATTAAATAATAATTTAATATTACATCACATAAAGGTTAGTCATCTCGAACAGAAGCGTTGGAATTAAGTTGCCTACGCTGCTACATTTTATACCTATTAATATATATTTACATAATTTCTACAAGTTTCATACATTAAGAATAAAATACTATGTATGTGTATTATGTAAGTTGTATTTAAATAAGGTTCTACGTATTAGTTATACGTATCAAGGAATACCGAGACTGCTAATTGTCATATAAAAATATATTTTCATTTTAATTATAAATACCTGTAAGCTGCCTTTCACGAACATTGAACTATGGCAATGCGCCGGCTATTTTCACAGATGTAGAATTCACTTTTATATTTATTATTTAGCAAAAGGCAGGTGGTTTTTATTTATACCATATCACAGAAAATACATTGGTTGGACAATTTTGAAATAGAACATGAAAAACATAATAAATCCAAATCTATAACTTCAATTCCAATACGTAAACAATACTATTAATTTATATCATAAAATTAAATGGTACGGGTTACCGTAAGGTAAACATCGATTCATATTACGAACCTTACTTTCACTACAATAAGTAGCCTTTTCTATAATGTTTTATAGAAATATTGTCTACCATTTTTTAATAATTTAGTAAAATCTTAGAATAAAGTGCATCAAAAGTTGGCAAAGAGTTTTAATTCATCGGGATCGAGTGAACGCACCGCCTTCCAGTCAGTTTCAGGATACTCATCAAAGTTAGAGGTGTCACCTTCGTAAGATACAGATGGCACAATCGGAGGCTGGAAAAATATACAAATCTGATTATTTTTACTGATTATTTAAACAAACTAATCATAGACGATAACCGGAGACTCCGTAAATACGGATTCATGTAGTTCATTAGTTTTCAATATGGCATGTAAATATGTGTATATATTTTTAACACCTCCAGGTAAATTTCTAAGAAATTAATTAAAATTCTAAGAAATCTATTGTTAACTGACACGCCGGCGTGTCTGCGGTCGTGGAGGGATTTGAGGGAGTTGAACAATTTGAGCTAAGAAATAAAATTAATAACGCTTGTCTCGTGTAATAAGTTTTAAAAAATTTTAAGCTCGCTTAAACCATAGACTTAACATTTTATCAATATTTCTCTTACCCGTTACGAAACAGATATATTATAATGATAGTATATTTATTGTTTAGCCAATTTGTGCAACAAAAAGTCACAATGAATTTAATTATACATTTTTTTTTAGATATATTGTTTTGTTTTTTTCCATTTGGTATTATATAATATCTATTAGGTATATAATTATATTTATTATGTAACATTATTGTTTTTTCCTAGTTCCTATATATTGACTCAGAAGATACACACCTACTTAATTTTATTTTCAATGATTGCATCATATTTCCAATACTTTTAAAGTTGTTTAATTAGTTAAAATTATGTAATCAATACCTGTAGTTTCTTCATGTAAACATCCGCCCAGTCAATGTGTTTGAACCATCTGTGCCGCTTAACATCTTCTGCACCACACTGCAATGAATAAATATGTATAATTATAGACAAACTATGTTAATATTAAGTTTAATTTACATATGTAGATAATCATAGATATTAATTACATATTCATTAATTTTGAAGTCGATACAATAATGTTTTTAAATTTTGTCCCAAATCAAAGCTTTTTAAAAAAGCGCGTAAAATGTAGAGCTGTATCTTAAAATCTAGTGACCGCTTTAACTCGATGAATACATAGAGGTACTATGCTAAAAAAAATATAAAAAAATTGTTTAACCGTTTTCACATAATACTCGTCGTACAAAGCAAATATATTTATATTTTTAATTATAAATATATTACTCGTTTAAACATATTTTTGATATTACTCTTGCAGATTCGATAAAAAAATATAATTATGTAGAACCACCTTTTTAAATAAAACAACATTTTTCCGGATTTTTCCGCGAATGCTGAATGTCAAATATTCGCGTAAATCTAAAAAAGTATTATAGAATCTGCATATTGGATCATGCATAGATTCGAATACATGTAACTGAAAATAATTACCAAAATGTTGGCAATGCCGTCGCAGCCCGCCCCAACGTACACAATTGTATTTACAAAACTATCCGAAATAAACTCTGATACGTCATTTTCAATCGCAAAAACCTGATCGCTTATCCATCATAGTTACAAACATCGATTTTATAAACATACTCACGTATCCATCAATCAATAGCAATCAAGTAAGTAGCAATAATAGCATTAAAGTAAGTAAATGATTTAAAATAAAACTATCTTTTCGAATTTTTTCGCGAACTTATTTTGATTTTTGGTTCCCGACGTTTCGAATGCTTTACAGCAATCATGGTCACGGGAGGGACATCCGAAAAGATAGTATTATTTAAAATGTCAAGTATTCGCGTAAATCTAAGAAAGTAGTAAATAAATGATTTAAAATTATTGCCGTTTTGTTATTATTGGCATCTGACTTATTTAAAGTCTGTTCCAAAATTTAATGAGAAGTAGGTACTAATAATACCAGAGAACATATGTATGTAAGTCTTACATGCTATTTATTATTCGAAATGACGTATATTTTAATGTCCAATATGTAGCAACAATGTAAGAATGACAAAATAAAATTTACGCGAACCAAATCAGGAACTCGGGAACTAAAAATCTAAATAAATCCGCGAAAAGTCCGAAAAGATACTTTTAAAATAAAATGTTTGTAATATCCAAGTCTAATAAGCATCTATCTAGTTTATCAAAGTAATCTATGCTAATATATAAAGCAAAAGATTTCTCGCCGTCTTTTCAGCAGAAGGGCCTTCCAAACCGATGATAGACGAACTTATATACTGATATTTAATTTAAATTTTAAAAATATAAAAATTAACGATTAGAAATTGGTAATAAAAATCTTTTTGAATAAATTATATTTTGACTTGATTAATAACATTTTAACTTAAACTACTATTAAAAAAATCCATGAGTAGGCAATAATATAGAGAAGAAAATACGGCATAGTTCACTCGTCTCTTGCACATTGGCTTCTGATGTCGCCGCTGGGCAGTTGACTGATGGCTTTCTAAACCGTTCTAAGACATCGGAGCAAAAAGCTCGGTGAAAACACCACACTACTAGAAACTGCAGCCGTCTGAACACATTTCTAACACATACACAAGACGCTTTATAAAGTAATGTACCACATAACTACCTACTTACATGGAGAAAATGTTGAAAGTTTTCTAAAGTTATTTATACTTGTACATAATATTGTAATCTTCACGACGCGACATCAAACAAAATATGTTTAATATAATATACTCATATGTATTGGGTACTGTTACGATTTATTTATACAAGAAAAAGAAAAATTTGCATTTTCTGTTTCCGTAAGTACCTACCTATAAATAAGCTTATACTGTCTAATTACTCTGTCTTATTGATGATAAAATTATAGCTTAATTAAATCGTGAATAGTAACTACCATAATTTCAGTTGATTTATATTTTATTTCGACAACGTTATGTAAAGAAGAAGCTTACAACGTAATAGGCTCAATGAAAGTATAAATATTTTTATGAGAGTAATAAAAAACATTACAGATAATTGTTGCTCTGGTCGTAAAGAGAATATTTATAACAATATTTATTTAAATGATGTAACATGATTTTGAAAATACAGTTTTTATGTGATCTATTCTGAAATTAAACTTTGCAATTAAAAGCTGTTTGTAAATTGTCAACTGTTAGATTAGGAGTTATATATGGAAACATCTGGAAATCCGCCAACTTTAAAAGCGAAACACGTACGGCATTTTTTTGTACATTACAGTATCCAAGAAAATTGTATCAGTGCACTTGATAAAATTACGCCAAGATTAAAGATTTCATACTAAATTAAAATCGGAAAACAAGGTACTTTGGAATACTTTTTTTAACTAACTTTTTTTTACTACTTTTAAGAGCTACTTTATTAAATATGCAACTTATTTTGAGTTTCTATTTCTATTATTACAAAGATTAATAATTATGCAGCAGAACAAAAAAAAACAAAAGGTGTTTATGTGTTTAATACAAATAATTATTGTACTGTCTAACAACGCCACATTTGCCTCTACATTTTGATATATTATGTACGTAGGTACGAATATAATGATAGTCAATTTATAGTTCCTCTAGTTATAGACTGATAACGTAAAAATAAATAACTCGATATAAGAGCATACCTTCATGTTGCCAAGTCTTTTAGTTCTGTCTTGAACTAGTAATTTCTTTATAATGTCCTTTGCAACAGGGTCCAGGTGTCGCGGCCAGTCCACACGACCGTTGAGGATTTTTTCATAGATTCCAAAGGGATTGTCATCGTAAAATGGAGGGTAACCAACTAGCATTTCATAGATGAGCACTCCTGAAATTAAATATAATATAAACCAATACAGTCGCCTTTTATAATGAAAAGACATATCAGAATGTTCATGAAATTCGATAATACAAATGTTATGAAATAAAGTAGAGATTTTAATATATTGCCACTTATATTTAAATAATGACGTATTAAACGTACGCAAATCCGACCGGACTTTTAACGCAAACAAAGATGCAGATCTTATATGTAATAAACACAAACATTTATTAAGTGTAAATAATTATTTCCGTAAGCCTTCTTAAGTTATACGTGCATTTTACCACTAATAAACATTGCAACAAAGTGGTCGAAATTGTAATAACAACAGCCTTAAGAAAATAGACGTAATGATTTTATTAAAACAAGAGTATTCTGTTTAAAAAATATAGCGGCTGGTGATGTGTGTTCACAATGCACGCTTTTTTTATATTTCTTACAATGTGCCAAAGTTCGAACTTCAGAGACAATCGTACACAAGCTCCTGCACTATAAATTACCCAACGCATTTATAAGTCTGGCACCAAGTAGTGATTTGAATTAGACAGATGGAAAGATAAATCACTTCTACGTTAAATAATTATAATGTAAACAGTACATTAAATGTTGAGACGCCACAAAGGTGTAAGTGCGTTCGTTCTTTGCGGCAGAGAACTCTACATCGAAAAACAACATGGTGACAAAAAATCTACACTTGATTGTAACAAGAATGAAGGTTAAGAAACTTAATATATTATAGTAACCGAAGATATATAATCATAGCGCTATTTTGATTCATCCATTTACGTTATTGTTATCATATAGTTTTGTTTATACATACAAAATTATCTAAAGCACATACATATATATGTTAAATAGTGATAATTATTAAAATAGTACATTAAATTAGAAGTTTACTTTCCACAATACCTAAAATTAATTTTCATATGTAATTCGCGCGAAAACTATGCAAGAGAGGTCTGCCAATGAGAGAACATGATAATGTTTCATCTCTAACGCCGAATCAAGTCTTGTATAAAGTTTCAGAAGAGTTTTAAGAGTTCCATTAAATATTATAAATAATAATAAGTAAATATTATAATTAATAATAAGAGTTCCATTAAATATATTAATTAATGGGTATTGGAAATCAACTACCAAGAACAGTTACTGCGGTGCAATTAAAAAAATGTTTTAAACTACATTCTACAGATTTGAAATTTGGTACACATGTTTCTTATATTAAACTAGCGACTCACCCTCGCTCCGCACGGGTTCGTCTCTAAATACCTTTTGACAGTTAGTATAGATTTCACAGAAATGAGACACTTTCCCGCAGTAAAAAGTATCCTATGTGTTGACCCGGATAACCAGCTATCGTCATATGAAATTTCATCAAAATCTGTCCAGTGGTACAGTCACAGACAGACAAAAATATTAAAAACTACTGATTCAGCTCTGTATCGATAACAATGACTATTTATTTTTCAAAAAATACTTAATTTACAGATTTGACTCAGTTACAATTTTATTATATGTGTAGATAAATAACCTAGTAGACTAAAAATTTGATGTGTACATAACATATGCATTTCTTTAGCGGTGAAATTGTGGTAAGAGATTGTGTACATACACAAAAAAGTTTTCTGATAGAATATCAACTTATGACAAATTGTTGGTGCGCAAATTGCATGTGATAATTTGAGATTTGTTAGTATTAATTCTATATTTTATACCTAGGCGAAGAAGCCAGGCGTCTTAAATATACTTTGAAATAATTAATTACATAACATAAAAAAGTCTTATTTTACTAACCTAAAGCCCACCAGTCCACAGCTTTATTATGACCCTTGCTCTGTATAATTTCGGGCGCAAGGTACTCTGGAGTGCCACATAGAGTCCACGTTCTATCTGTCAGTTTTTTCGCAAAACCAAAGTCTGTGATCTTCAAATGGCCATCCTTCGCTAGTAGTAAATTCTCAGGCTTCAGGTCACGATACACAATATTCCGGGCGTGGAGGTATTCTAGCGCGGAGACTATTTCTGCTGCATAAAAATTTCCTACAAAAAAATTAATAAATATATTTTATCCTCCTTTCTGTCTAGATTGAATTCAAAAATGAAATTTAATTTACAGTTATGAATATCGAAATAACTAAGTTTCTATTACTAAGTCTTGAATAAATTAGTCTCTATAAACGTGCAAATATTAAATATTACAATAATTCATTTACATCCCAAATTACTGGTTTTACAAATTCGATCGGTCATCAATGTAGTATGACCGAACGGATTTTAATGATAAGCTATAATCACTCTCTCTCTTTCTCTCTTTCGAATAATTAAAGCCTGATACTTTCTGATTAAGTTTTGGAATAATAAATCCATATTCATTCTTCCATACTTTTAATATTGTGTGTCCTTCTTTCACGTTGTAACAGAATGACAGATTGGCGTGATTTTTCGTGTGGATAGTTGGAGTACTGGAGAGTGACATAGGCTATTTTTACCACGGTAAACTATCATATTCCCGTGAGCTGTATTGCCATAAAGTAGGTTGCCTTATAACTTGATACAACCTACTACAACTCATTATACAATGTATATATAGTACAGAGTATCTATTCCATACTAAGCGTTAAAACGTACCTAGAGACAAACCCGAGCGAAGCGAGGGTGAGCGGCTAGATAATATTATAAATGTGAAAGTAACTATGTCCACCTGTTTGTCTATTAGGTTTATTAGGATGTCTGTCTATTAGGTTTTCAAGCCGAAACCGCTGAACCAATTTTGATGAAGTTTAGTATAGAGAGGGATGGAACCTTGGAGAAGATATTATAGAATAGGTACTTTTTGTCGCAAAAATGAAACTTGAAAGGAGTGAAATAAAAGTTGTAAGTTTGTATTGGGGACAAACCAAATCTCAAGTTGAGAACAAAAATTTCAGGATCCTATCATTTTGGTGAGAAATAATTAATATGGTTTCGAGTTTTTTTAAAGTACTTTACTTTTACTATTCCATACTAACCGTTCAAACGAACCCGAGCGAAGTGAGGGCAAATCGCTAGTGCAATATAAATATGTAATTGTGTATATAAATATTTTATAATATGACTAAAATTATGACGACGCTAACGCTTTAAATTTAGTTTACCGGGCGTATGATAATATTTCTTTTTCTGATGAAATTCACCTTTCCAAATCTAATTTGTCACGTTTCCGTGAGAAATGGCGTCTATGAAATTTTTATTGTGAACTTAAATAACAACTTTACTTAAGCGAACACTTGAAGAAAAATACAAAATAAAGTTTATTTTTTGCATCCATTAAAATCAATGACGATTGCCAGCGCTGGACGATTTCAAGCGACATTTTGCGTATTATTAGAGTTAGTTGGTGCTCGCACAAGAACTTGCCGTCTGCCTATATAGCGAGTATTAAACTACTTTAAAATGCAATTATCCCCAACACTTTATTTTTGTACTATACGCTGTCAAAGTTCTATGGGAAACAAAGCGCCGACTTTTAACTAAACTTATGAATTAATAGATTATGAATCAGAGGTTTGTGGGCATTAGCAACATTAATAATGACTGTGTGCCGTTGGATGATATCATCTCATGACTAAAACAGGCCCGCATGAACTTCAACCATCAAATTAAGTATGGCTACATCACGTGTCGAATACTTAATAACGCACCAAAATACTATGTAAAGTTCAGCACATCAAACCTGAAATCTACTTTATGACGTCGAAATACTTATATATCTTATTATTTTAATCCTAGTTTATTTTTATATAGATAAGTAATGTATACTAATATCATAAAGAGGTAAAGTTTATGAGTTTGTGAGTTTGTGACGTTGTAGGGGGTAATACTAAACCGATTAAAATGACATTTGGTAAGAATATAGTTTGAGCCCTGGGAAGGAAATAGGATACTTTTTATCCCGGAAATTATCCCTTAAGGGGTGAAACTGGGGATGAAAGTTCGTACGGGGAAGCAAGCTAGGGACGAACCCGAGCGAAGCGAAGGTGAGTCACTAGTTAAGTAATAAGATAGTAAAATTACATTCTGTAATTATTAATTAGTATTAAAATGATCATCTCAAGTAATACGTTATTTTTTCTCTTATCGAATCAGCAATATAAATAAAATTCTTTGATAAAACATCCGTGATAGAAATGCTTTCCGGAAACTCCAGTAAATACCCAAGTTCTGAGTAACCAGTAAGGCAGCAAATCTCACGTGTGTATAAATAAATATACATTATTTATCATAAACGAAAATAGAAATGGAATACTGCTTTCTAAAGTGGCAACCCAAAAACACAATTTTACATACACATTTACGACCTATTTAAAAAGAATAAAATTGAGATAGCCACTTACTTTTAGATAAAAACATTTATTTATGTTGTGCGGTTACAACTCTACCAGTACAAAGTTGTTTAATTTGCATGCGACATAAAGCTAAAATAGAGGACACGCGTTTCAGGAACACAATCTTATATAAGTAGGTATATTGTGAAAAAAACAACTTTATACTCAATGCGACTAATTTTATAAGTGACTAGCATTGCCCGCGGCTCCACCGGCGTTCAGATGACCAGAAAGCAAATTCTTAGGTTTTACATATTAGTACACTATACTTTTACAATGCCATTTCTGTATTTTTCAGAAATGAGATATTTTCCCGCGGTAAAAAGTATTCTATATCTTGATCCGGATAACCAGCTATCACCATACCAAATTTCATCAAAATCCCTCCAGTGGTTTTTCTGTGATGCTGTAACAAACAGACAGACAGACAAAAATTCTAAAAACTATAGATTCGGCCTCTGCATCGATAAAAATGTCTATTTCAATAAGCTTTTTCCAAAAAATATTTAATGTACAGATTCAGCTTAGTTACAATTTTATTATATGCATAAATTATTAAGTTACAATGTAATATGTAGGTGCATGCTAATATTTATTATTAATAGCCCCGATAAGATACAATTGGTATTACTAACGTAGTACACACAAAATTTTAGCATAAAATCTGCACTATGGATTTGCCTGATTAACAAAACTGACAAACTTGACACTTTATGATAATCTAATAAAAATTGATATTAAATATTGTAATACATTAACCTGTTTAAAATGTACTTAAAGTATCACGTAATCGGACGCTAAATATTTATAAAATATTATTAAAGCGAATGGTGCGCAAGAGGCAGCAGAGACGCGGGCGTCGCGACGTCTGCCAGAGTCGTCAGACAGCGCTCGCTATATTACCCGCCGTAATAATAAATGATTCCAGTATTGTTCCACGAAATTCGCGGCAGAGTATTAAATAAACATTGAAATATACACATTTATACATAAGTTTAAATATATTATATATGTATATATTTGACAAACACAACTACACACCTACAAATGTTAGACGCTCGCGTCATTGACCACTTATTTTGGTCCATGTCCTTTCTCCAAAAATACACGCCTATTCACGTCTGATTAATATCGTACGCTTTTCAATATCATGTTCTTGAATTCAGTTAAATAATTTTCTTCTACAATTTTACATTATTTCAGTCTCTTCTGCATTATTGTTGGATCTTTCTTAAAACATCCAATTTCAACTAATGTAAAGATTTTTTGTTTCTAGGTATATTTTTATAGGGGTTAAATGTATTTAGATATAATATATTTCAGTACAGTAGTATATTTCAGGTACAGCATGAATTCTTCCGATATTCTCGTTAACGAGTAATTATTTTCATCTGATAATAAGGTTTATTTCGAATTACTGTTATAAAAGTGAAAAAGTTTTATTATAATCTATACATATAATAGAATTGTAACTAAGCCGAGTCTTTACATTAGATATTTTTTGGAAAATCTTATTGAAATAGACACTATTATCGATACAGAGGCCAAATCTATTTTTTAGAATTTTTGTCTGTCTGTCTGTTACCGCATCACAGAAAAACCACTAGAGGGATTTTGATGAAATCTGGTATGGTGATTCGGGTCAACATATAGGATACTTTTCACCATGGGACAAGGTCTTATTTCTGAAAAAAAATACAAAAACTACAATGTAAGAGTATACTTATATGTAATACCTAAGAATTTGGTTTTTGATCATCTGAATGCGGTCGGAGCCGCCGCGAGCAATGCTAGTTATTCATATATTATTAAAAAATTAATTAAACGCGGCTCGTCAACAAGGTACATAGTGTTAAGTACACGTTAAATACCCATTGTCGAAACATGTGATCCAGAAGAAAAGTTTACACTAATTTTACTTCTTGTAGTATCTGACGGTAGCATTGAAGTCCAGGTGTGATATTATATACTACTTGCTATTTATTTATCAATACAAATTTTTCTTTCATTACAGATCCAAAATCGAAACATATCTACACAAAGTTTTCTCATCAGCCCAATCAATTCTTTTTTCTTAATCAATTATTACAAAAAATATATGTAAGCCATTTCTTCTCTTTATTAATTCATTAATCAGAAGATGGTTTCCTATAATTTTTATTGTTGATTTTAATATATATGGTAAATTGTATTTTTTGCCAAATTGACGCTTTCTTTAAAGAAAGAACCAGACAAAACCTTTTGAATTATGTGTTACTATAAAATCAAAAGGGAATGCCTTAGCTATAAAAATGACTCGATAATTTAAAGCCATTAATAATAAATATATCGACTTTTATTTGTAGCTCTTAAGGTATGACTATGTTTCATAAATATTAATAATGAATAAAAACGAAAACATGTTTATAAAAAAACAACTCTCTCGTAACACAATTCATTCGCCTTGTATTATTAAATTAAATTCATTATAATGGAATGAAGTTGGCACAAAACGAATCATGTGACGTCATTGTATCAATCACTGCAGCACGTTACTGAGGAAATATATCTATCTCCTTGAATTAACCCACCCAATCATTAATTTAGGTTTTTTGTCTATTTTATCTAAATGGCTTGTTTAAAATCACTAAACTTTCGATTATACTTATTAGATATTATACAATTAAAGTGTAAAGAACGAATTTTGATCGAGATGAATTTGAATGTCAGATTTTTTAAAATATTTTATATACGACAACATTTTAATTATACAATTTTGAAAAAAATAATTACCAATACTGTTGCTGAATCGACCAGCGTTTCTTAAATAGGAAAATAACTCTCCGCCGCATACATAATCAAATAGCATGTAGATACAAGAGTCGTCGTGAGTCCACCATCGCCTGAAACAAATGAGGAAATTTTTATGCATAATTTATTCGCTTATATATTTCTCCATTAAAATCTGTTTACCATTAAATCCATTAAACTAATTGTACATAAGAATAAAACATTTTTATAGATAAACAAAATCAAAGAAGATATCTTTAGTGACTTATATTAGAGCAATTCAGAAAATATATTATTTTAACTGACAGCTACTTCCATATGTTACATTTGTTAGAAGCTGTATTAGATCGGTGCCTGTCAATAGAAATATTGACGGTGATGATTGCCAGGTACGCGACTGGGACTCGCAGCTCGCGAGTTAACATGCACGACGTTGATACTCGGACCTTTGATTCATTGGCGTCTACAAATTTCATTTATTTACATGTCTAGTGTCTATCCTATATAAAAATATCATATATTTTGTCTGTTTCATCCCAAAACATTAATAATTTACATTGATTATGTCCTAGAAATATCTTTAATCTTTATATTTAATATAAAATTATTTTATAACATAAATATAAAACACGCACAAAATAGATTAAATTATTTTATTGGTTAAGCTTCTAAAATATAGCTTTATAAAAATTAGGCGCCAATAATTTTCTTACTTTATATCTCAGAAATAGACATTTTGCAACAATACCAATTTATGTGAAAGTCTTATCCAATAAATTCACATTAAACAACACCAGCATTGTCACATCGTGGACGTGTAGTAATACAAAATACGAATTAGAAATGTCTACTAGAATAATTGGCTCTGAGCCGATGTTTTTCTCTTTCCATCTTACGTCATGTTCACCTTTTGCGTATCCTTACTACTTTAAATAATAGTAAATTTTACAAAAATAAATTCATTAATTTTAAGAAAAATAATATGTTTACTACATGTGAAATGAGAGTTGAGAATAAAATTACTTACAAATTAACAATAAAAGGATGGTTGATTTCTGCCAAAATGCTCTTCTCATTCATGACGTGATCCACTTGTTTTAAACGTATCACATCCGCCATAGAAAGAATCTTCATAGCCAGGTACTCGTCTGCCGCCTTATCTCGGCAAAGGCATACGCGGCCAAATGTGCCGGTACCTGCAGAAAAGAAAACTTTTATATAACAATCACAACGGCAAAAGTTTTAACTCTATATGTAAAAATATTAAAAATAAATATTTTTATATATAAGGCAAAAATATATACATATGTTATTGGTATAATTTTTTTCAAAATTTAGAAGCTTGAAAAAATTACTTGTTTAATGAGGTTCTATATGATGGAAATCAGAATTCTTTAATCTTAATAAAATCAGTTTAGCCGTCAGTTTATATTATAGAAGGATTATAAGCTACTTTGTACAAGTAATAATATTATTTAAATAGCCAACAAAAATATACGAAAACACAGCGTAAAGTAGCGTCATCTTAAATTGTCTGAATAACAGGTGGCATATTATGTAGAAAATGGAGCGGTGAAACGTTATGACCTTGATTGAGAAAAATACAAAACTTAATTTATGGAGCTCAATTTCTTTAATTTGACGTCATATGTCGACTAACTTTTTATAGATATTTACTTTCATATACTGTTTTAAATGAGTAATTTATTAAAATTAATAATACAATAAATCAAAATAATGAAAATAATTTTTTAATTATATTAAATCTACACTAATATCATAAAGAGATAAAAAAATTATAAATTTGTATGTAGGGGTTTGTAAGAGATAAACTGTAAAAAATTAAAATACTAATCTGATTTTGATAATTCTTTCACTAGTCGGAAGCAGCATTACCGTCTAGTGCTATAGACTATTTTTTATTGCAATAAAAGTATATTTATTGTCAAAAATCGTTATATAGAAGTGGGAAAAAATGGCCGTCAAGCTATTTTACCGGCTCTTGTTAGGCATCTATAAATCATCAGTCATATATAAAACAATGCATAAAAATAATAGTTTTATATACTCTTGACTACAATCTGAAATGATCCCTAATCCCCTGAAATATGATTACTGTACATTGGCTTTATCTTTATTTATCACAAGCTTTTGCCCGCGTCTACGCTTGGGTAGTTTCTAAAGGCCGTAGGTCAATGTTAAATAACATATTAATAAAATTCAAAAATAGGTAAATTACAAATCTGACTGACTGATAATTCAATAAATTAGCACGTTAAATTATATTTTTGTAACACAATCAACTAATATTAGCATAGTATAGATAATTTATTATTTTATTCTAATCTGAATGCACCTTTTCGTCGTTGACGCCGACCTTTCGTCATTGACGACTTATAAAATTATATAGGTACTAGCAGAACCCGCGGTTTCGCTTGCGATAAAGCTTCAAAAAAACTAAAAAAGTAGGATCCATACAAATTTCATCCCCTATTTTACCCCCTTGTGAGATGAATTTCGAAAAATGCTAAAACACGTATTCATTTAATTGTATTGAAGAGCATTTGTACTATTGTATCTAATAATTCTGATCATAATCTCCCGCGGTAAAAAGCCTATGTCACTCTCCAGTCCTCCAACTATCACCACACCACACAAAAAATCACGCTAATCCGCCAAGCCGTTTCAACGTGAAAGAAAGACAAACAAACAAACACACTTTCACATTTATAATATTAGTATGGATTTATTAAATCTATACATATAATAAAATTCTGAGTCAAATCTGTACATTGAATTTTTTTTGGAAAATCTTATTGAAATAGACATTATTATCGATACAGAGGCCGAATCTATAGTTTTTAGAATTTTTGTCTGTCTGTCTGTCTGTTACCGCATCACAGAAAAACTACTGGACGGATTTTAATGAAATTTGGTATGGTCATAGCTGATTATCTGGGTCAACATATAGGATACTTTTTACAAAAACTGTAATGTAAGAGTATACTAATATGTAAAACCAAAGAATTTAGTTTTTGGTCATCTGAACGCGGGCGGAGCCGCGGGCAATGCTAGTACATTATATTTTAATTTTAATAGAAACGAATTACGAGCTATAGGCAAATATGTTGCAGCCGTTAAGAAACAAAAAACGTAAAATAAAACATTTCATCTAAACATTTCTAAAGTAAAGCAAGCATCAGGTTTTTCATCTTTAATATTTTATGAGTCAGCCGCCTCTCCACTAAATTTAATCGCCTGACGCTAAAATAAATATTATATCATCGTATAGCTGGCTTTTATTTTAAAATTAAAGAAAATTTTAAATACAAAAGTACTAATATCCATTGTCAAAATGTGTATGACCCTGGTTTTAAAATAACTTTTACTGCGTATCCTATTATTGCTAGATAATAAATTGAGGTGCCACCTGACGCTTTCCATATTCTCTATGTACGTTTCGAGATCACCGATACTTACTATAAGGTTCTGAGTAAGCAAATATTAAGTCGGAAACTGGAAAGTTCGTATGATGACACTTTCTAAAGGTGATGATATAACAATTGGTGCTGTCAATGACATAGGACCAACTATCCAACTTCCTGACTCTGTATGTACAAAACAAAATGTATTAATAATATAAATTTTTGTGTAAAACCTAACGTCCATTCTATAGGAAATCAATTTTATACATAATGGATATAAGATGTGCAGAAAAGTCGAAAAGCACAAGACATTTAAACTATTTTAATATATGTATATTATTTACATTTCTAAAATCGTCTTTAAAAACAGCAATGGGTTATACGAAATAATATTACGTTATACTATTATAAATAGAGTACACTCCTTATTTCTCTAATTATCTTCAATATACGTCAAAACTATTATTTTAAATGATTGATTCTCATAAAAAATTAAGTCGATATAAATTAAAAATCTAACTGTTGTTTTGCGTAATACTTAAAAATTTCAGAGTGCCCGTGACGCGATAGCCTTTCGTAAGTCTCTACATCTACTTTATTTCTGCTGTATGTTGCGCAAGATGAGCAAAGATAGCACAAGTTTATATGTAACCTACAAACACTTTGGGCAACTTCTGGATCGACGTAATTAAAAAAAAACGAGTAGATACATAAACCAATGCAATAACAATGATTTTACTTTCTTTATAAACTTGTTTGAACACATGTACGCTTACGCACGTACCTAACTAACCTAAATAATTTTATTATATAATAATAATGATAGTTCAATGGTAAATCAATTTCGATTAAATCTTATGTAACACCGTGGGTTTGTAGCATCTTGCAATCTTAAGTTTAGCGAAAGGTATGAACAATGTCGTATTTGTTGTTGAAAGTATTTTGTCTCTGTCTTTTCATATGAAAATGGAAAAGACAAAAACATTTAGCAAAAGCCCAACAAGTGAGATGGCACCAGATTTACTACTTTCACTGTGCGCATAACGCACGTAAACGAGCTTGGCACAAAAATTTATGGTATTACTGTTTTGATGTCCATAGCATAACAATAACATTGATCTAATAGAAATATAATTAATATTATAAAGTCCTTAAATATTATTAAATAAGTATTTCGAAAGTTGCTTTTGTAGAAATTCTATTGCATTTTAATAAAAAAAAAAACTTATTGAATCATATATTTTAATATAACGCTAAAATACAAAATACCTTCAGACTTAGAAATTAATTTGTTATAATGTATTAATTGAAACAATTTATTTCAAGCCAGTTACTTTGACGGCGTATTAATTACTATGAGTACCTACTTATAATGTTACAGCAATATTTATAGATCATTAAAGAGTCCCTGCACTTTTAATATTTTAAATAAAACTGGTAATGTACTTTAAGTAATTGAATTTCACACATGTAATTATAGTTTAAGGCTAAATCTAATCTATATTTTCTCAGACCAATAAATACTTTTTAATTGGTCTGAGATTATTTTCTTGTTTTATATCTGTCTCTACAATTAACTACAAGGAGGTCAAATCTTTAGTACTATTTTAAAGTACGCTAAATAAAGGGTTATAAAAACAATAATTTACTTCAAATAGATTTATTTAAGCGTTTGTTTTTAAAAGAAAAAACATGCAACCTTGAGTCGTGCGCGTTCATGCGGCACAACCTCATCCTTTCAATATCTCGACCAAATTGCTTTATTATTTTACTGACATTGAATTTACTCTCAATTAAATTTGTATGTCGATAAATTATTTCACGTATCGATTAGTTACATAATATCGATACGACAATCGATTACAGTAAGTTGTCATCTATTTTCAGGTTCAAATGCGCTATTTGACTAAAACTTTCAACTTTCAATATAAATTTGTTTGTTGATAGCAATATCCACAGAACTAAACTATTATACTTTATTGATATTAGGTTTTATATAATAAATATATATTGAATTTCATTAATGAAAGAAATCAAAGGAAATTGAAAAAAATATATATTTATTAGAAAATAACTGTGTGAAACTCAAGAAACTCGATCAAAATCTTCATGATATAAACATACCACAATACACGACTTGGTAGCGCACCAACGAGTATAATATTGTTCTTAATAGGTGATTGAAACGCTAACAGAATTATATTTCATTAAGAAGTGGGTACAGATATTTTAATAACAGCCGTAAACCTCGATATTGCACGTAAAAGTCGCATGTTGATGAGAGACGGGATGTACTATAACATATTTAGTATCAAATAAAGTGCGTTATGGACAAACCTTGTTCCACATTCAAGCTGAAAAGATGACTAAGATGATATAAAACAAATTGTGTTCTGAAAGTTCACATTTCTATTATTTAAAACTTTCATTAAAGTCTTTGTTATAATAATTCGCTCGTATTTTTATAATATTGCACTTGTATGTGATTTCTAATTTATTAGGAATTCTGCAGCTTTTACCTCATCAGTATGCAGAATCTAAAAACTTTCTGATACAAAAGCGCTTAGAAAAATATATATGTAAATGTATTATTAGAATTTTAATAAATTGTAAATTCTAAAATTTAGACTAATCATATACCTAACCCAGAATCTAGAAACTATTCATTTTATTCGTGAAACGACATGGTCTTATAGATTTCGAGATATTTATCCACATTTGCGATTCTATATATTGAGTTCGCAGGTTTGACTGCCATATGAATCTCTAAT